ATCGCGATATTGAATTTTTAAATTGAGTGAATAGGAATTGCTAGTACGATTTTTAAACAGCGTAAAAAAAGTCGCAACACATAAGTTTTAAATAAGTTAAATACGAAAATCGATGATTGATATTAAAATCGTCTGATTAAAAATCGCGATTTTAGCATATTCCAGCGCAATTCCTAATATTTAAAATTCCGAAAATCAGCCAAACGAAAAAAAAAATCATATATCGGTGGTCGAAACGAAACACTTAGACTCCTTTCCACTCTATAGCGGAAGTCGCGGGAATCCGACTATCGTTCCGGCGGCTTGGGTTTCTCTAATTGGACTCCCTAAAAATTTTAGTTTTTGGAACATGGTCGAAAATTTTAAAAATTGGGAGAAAAAAGCGGATTTCCGCTTTTTCGTGGAAGTCTTTCATCCCTTGGAGACGTGAACGGCAAAATGATCTCCAATGACTCACGGCAATGCGGATTAATATTTGAAACTGAATTCAGGTTTGCCAAATTTTGGACGTTTTGTCTCAGAATGGCGCAGCTTTGGCAGAAACTGAGCTGAATGTCGCAGTTATGCCGTTTTGTCTCAGTTTGTCGCAAATGGCGCAGGCGTAGCATCCCTGATACTGTCAACAACAACTTCAAAAGGTCGACCAAAACATCTCTCATGTTACAGAGAATAATCCATAGAACAAAATTTTTTAAGCCAATTCTGGCATAAATATTCTGTTAAACAATCAACAACATAAGCTTCACATATTTCTTTGTGAGCCTCAGCCGCTTTTTCGTCTTTATGAAAATGAGTAAAAAATGCTTACTTTTGCACTCCATGTTAAAACAGACTCTTAAAAAAATTACACAGTATCTGTTTATAAAGCAACCTTAAGGTATAGATTACTGAATTTTAATTTTAAAAAAATCTAACATTAATAAAATAATGAAACAAACATAACCTCATACAGGGTATCTGCTACATTTTAGATTTTCAAATTCATGACTTTTCATGATTTTCCAAGAATTTTTCATGACTTAACGAAGTTACTATCTTCTCGAACAAAAATGCAACAATAAATTTTAAAAAGCAATATAATAACATTATTCGAAATGATAGGTATAATCAAAACTGTTATACTCTGCATCTTCATATTTATAGATTTTAAATTTAAAAAACAGAGTAAAGAAAGAGTTGAAACAATAAAATAGCTGAAAAAATACAAAAGCAACTAATTTTTTTTCTGCAGAATTATATTCCAAAGATACTTTTCTTGTTCATCAGAAAGGAAAGAAATACTTGCGATTTTTCTGTTCTCATTTCGGAATTTAAAAAATTTTTCACTGACTGGTTTGCTTCAACTAGAATTTTAAATTTATATAATTAAAAAAAATTGATAATAAAAATTCTTAAATCACAGGAGAGAGAGTTTAAAAGATTCACTCTAGAAATGATGGCTTTTCTTTCATTTTTTGAAAGAACACCATAATTTCTTAAACAACATGATAAAATCATTTTATATTCTATTAAAATATGACTGAGTAGTGATTTTGTTAGGAATTCAGATATTTAGAACAGGCTGAAATTGGGGGGGGGGATTCCATTTTAAAAATTACATTTTTCGGAAACCTAAATCCATGATTTTCCATGATTTTTTTTAAAAATAGTAAAAATCATGACATTTCATGACTAATTTTGCTCAATACTGAAATTCATGACTTTCCATGATTTCTCATAACTTTCCAGGTGAGCAGATACCCTATCATATACAGATGTAAACCAAAATTAGTGTGTTCGTTGTACCTAGTAAGATATCAAAACAGTGATTCAAGCTACTAAAAGATAAAATACAGCTATAGGAGAAATAAACTTGATCTAAACTGAGGGAAATTATATCTGGAGGGAAAAAAATTATCTTCCTAAGGCAAAAATACACTTAAATCATATTAAAAAATTATTATTCTTAATAAAGCACAATTATCTTCATAAAAAAAAAACTTACCGACTGCTAACATATTGGTTGTTACGAATTTTTTCTTCATATTTAACAGCAGATTTCCAATCACTTACAATACCTCTAATATGTTCTTCAAACATAGCTGATAATCGAATAGTCATTGAATAAATCTAAAATAAAATTTTAAATGCATTTTAAATAAACTCCACAATTCATTATCCAGCAATTTTAAGAAAAAACACTATCAAGAAAATCTAAAATAAGCAGATATAAAATTTTAGTTTTTAGAACTTTTATACTCACTCTAGATTTTTTATTGATGTTGTAAGTACGTGAATTCTGGAATATAAGCCTCACATCTTTACACAGACCAGTAGGACTGCTATAATAGTTGTTACTCAGTCTATCTCTTACAGTAGATAAATCCATTGGACAGTCTATTATATCCCTATAATTCTGCAAAAATGAATAACTTATTAGTAAATGAATAAAAATATATAAACAAATAAACCCAACTGAAAAAATAAAATGCATAGGATTTAAATTATAACATATAGTTTCTTTTCCATAAAGAAATAATTAATTTCCTCATCTCAATCACCATTTACAACACACTTACACTAAATAAAATTGAACATATGGTGCGAAGGATTTAGTCATTATAACATTTCTTTTTAATATGCAATATAAAATATCTATTTAGATTTTTTTATAATATTTTAACCCCTTGCACTATTTTCACCAGTCTGATTCGTGATGAAAATTTTAGGCTAAACTTGAATATCCCGAGTCAGGCTCCTTGTTTAATTTCATGTCAAATGTGAACATCACGAATCTGGCTCGTAATTGGCTTTCCAGGCCAAACATGAATATCACGAGCCATACTCGTGGTATTAATCTCGGACTAAACAAGAGCGTCTGAATGGACTCTTATCTCTTCTTTATATGAACAGGTATTTTATATTTTGTCTACTAATATCTAATCCTCTGTCTGTTTCCCTTGTATTAGGCTCTTTTCGCAAAGATTTGAGTGCATAAGTTAGACACCGCATGTTCCAAATTTCAGCGTAGTGGAAAATGTTAAACAATTTATGTCTTTTTTGCAATTTAAGAAACCATTATATTGGGCAATATATGACATTGAAAGAAAAATAGTTCATTTTCAAGATACAAAAGTTTTTGTTTTTTTATATTAATGATCAGTCCAAGTTAAAGTTACTCTCCCCCTTTTAGGAATAAACAAGCTTTTTCTTCTTTAATAATTTTATAAAAAATCAAAAGTTTTTGCCATTATAATAATGCTGTTTCGAGGTCCAATTGATCCACCTGTAGATTGAGGGGACAAACAAGATATAGTAGTAGTTGAGAGTAAATTAATATGGAGTTCAGAGTAATTAAGTAGAAGCTTTATAACCATTATAAAATTAATCATTCTTTAAAGAAGCACTCTAACATTTGAAAGAATTAGATAGCAATGAAAATAAAATAAAAACTTACCGGATAATCGTTCAAATTCACAGGATATCGAAATGGTGTAGAATCATTCCATTCAAACATAGTGTTCAATAAAGACATGCACTGCTCTCTCCAGCTACTAGAGGTATACTTTTGATTACTTTTATGCATCTGTGTGCTTGATTGCATGGCATTCCGCTAAAAAAAAATTAATATGTTATTGCAATTATTGAGATCGAAAAGTAATCTTCCTAAACTAACACAATCGTCTTTATTTAACAGGATTAAATGAAAATCCTACTGAAAATACAATTTTTCTTCTTTTTAAAACCCTTTCCCTCCCACTTAAAGATTCACTTCAGTTTTTAACTTTAAGCTTTCAGTTTTAACTTTAAGCTTTCAGTTTTAACTTTAAACTTTCAGTTTTAACTTTAAACTTTCAGTTTTAACTTTAAACTCTCAGGTTTAACTTAACTTTCAGTTTTAACTTAACTTTCAGTTTTAACTTAACTTTCAGTTTTAACTTAACTTTCAGTTTTAACTTTAAACTTTCAGTTTTAACTTTAAACTTTGTTTTTTTTTCCAAAAAGAAAAAGAGAGAGAATGTATATTTTTTAAGAAATGGTACGAAATAATGATATTTGATAGGCAAAATTGCACATGAGAACTTTTAGAATTTTCAGACAATCATCTTAATATAAAATAAAAAGCAATAAAATTTTGCAACTAGTATTTTAAATATTGATATGTTTGCCTGTATTTTGATGTTTCAAAATGTATTTTAGTTTTTGTTTAAACTAATGAAAATCCACTTTAATGGTGCAGAAAAACTTCTTTTTTTTATAAGGTAAATTTGATTCACATTAGTGCTAAAATTTCTTTTTTTAATATATATTTTAACAAGATAAATGCAAAAAATTTTTATTAACAAATTTATTACCTCATTTGTTAAACACATATATCTGCTGATATAGGTTACGTCATTTATCCTCAGTACTTTAAATTTATTGCCAAAACATTGCATGTACTCAACCAACATTACATTGAATACTTACAAAAATTTTGCACGCATGTATTTGTTTCCCAGGATGGATATATTAAAATTAATAGCTTTTTTCAAGGGAAAAAAAAAAAGACTTATCACCTTAAAATCAGAAGAAATAAGTATAAAACAAAATAATACCACCCTAAAAAGAAGAGTTCACTTACTTTCCTTCTTTTGATTTTAGCATTATGCTCTCCATCACTATCGGATTCACTACACAAAACATCTAATTCACTCTGTGAATCTTGAGACCGTGATTGTTTGGCTTCCATCATCTCATGATAAATAATCATTGGATCATGACAGTTTGGCAGTCTGAAATACATTAAATATTTAAAAAACAGCAGAAAAAAAGTGTTTTCAAGTCTTCTGTTTTTACAGCAAGAAAGATATAGAAGTCATTATACAAATTGAAAGATCTAAAATTTAACTTAGTTGGTTTTTATACATTTTCTCTCTATGTTAAAAAATAAGAGCCACTAACGCTTTCGGTATTTATTTAACCTCACAGTGCGCAAAAACTATAGGACTCAGAAAAATGAAATTAAGAAGGAATGCAGAAAAATGCTCGAAGAGTATGATGAAATAAAAAATATCACTATTCCATAATTAGTATGAGAATTATTAACTAAACTTGATGTAAGAAATACCAAACAGGCTGCTCTGTAGGAATAACTATTAGTTGGAACATGAATAACTATTTAGTTGGACCATAAGAATAACTATTTAGTTGGAATTTCAAATGCTTTGCCGAAAAAAGGAATTTTTTTTTCCTTCTTTTTGAACATGAACTTTTATAAAAATTCAAATTGGCAATTTTAAGGCTTTTTTTACAAATTTTTCCTCACTTTTTTTTTAAAAAATTACACTTTGTTTTGTTGCTCCAAAACTATCAAATTTTAAACTTGTAGGAAAAATACTATGTTTGATTGATCATTAACCTGATAAATGCAACTATGGAGTAAAAATTTAAAGTCTGGAGAAAAAAAAAACATTTTCATATGTGATCTTAGCACGAATTTAGTTTCAAAATTCTAATTTGTTCACAAGTCGAAACAAAACAACAATCTTTTTTAAAAACAATGGAGACTATTAATCCATTGTTGTAGAAAATTCACTTTTTCCTCACAAAATCTTAAGTTATTTAATTTATAAGTTAGCACTCAAGTAGATGTTGATCAAACGTAGCAAAAATAAGATGGATAACATGCATATAGATGTAAATTTTACATAAATATTGAAAATTTTAGAAATAAAAAAACTTAAATAAAGAGTGTTCAAAACAGTTTCCTATTTGAAGTTATAAGTCTTGGAAATGAATAAAATTACTTTTCATTATTGAGTCACACAATCTGTATTCTTTAGGTTATTTTTTATTGAAGTATAGATTATTATTTTTTATATCTAGCTATTCATTCATTTCATTACGATTAAAATATTAACAAAATGTTTGTACATAAAGCTAAAACAACTGTGTATTTGGAAAACAAAATGTTCAGTGTTTTCGTGGAAAATATTGAAAAAATAACGATGAATGAGAATTAACTATGGGGGTTGGTGAGCAGAGCATTCAGGGATAGAGTCTTCAAATGATATAAATTTATCTGCAGAAGCAATTATTTAATATCGTACTCTTTATATCTACTTTTCAAAATAACAAATACAGTAGGGGAGAATCGGGTAGCCCCGCCAACTTACGGAGTATTGCTTATATTTCTGTATAATATTGAGTAATAATCAATATTTTTGTATGTTTCTATTGTTTTATCATCTAATTAACTAATGCAAAAAGAATAAACCAAAAAAAGAATAGCTTAATTTTAAAAAAATAGAAATTTAAAAAATTTAAAAAAAAACAGGTTTTTCAGCTCTTTTCAAAACAAGGGGTAGCCCCGCCCAGTTACAAAAATTATGTTTTTTGACTGTTTTTTCAGGTGGAAATGAAAATGACTAATGTATTGACAATAGATAAACCTCATTTATCATTTTTATCACAAAATTATTTTATTTATTACATATTTATATTTATATAACATGGTAAACTATTGTTTACCATGTTACCAGCTGCATAAATACTTGAAACTTTGAAAATAATCTTTTTTTAATATAACAATTAATGTCCGATGGCCCATTGACTTGAAAAAATATTCTATACATATGAAATTGACAGTGGGCGGGGGTACCTGGCACTCCCCAACAGTTTTAACTTTAAAATAAATGTAAAACTTATTTTCTAATTATTTATAAATTCAGCTAAATTGGCTTTCTTAAAAGTAATGGCATATTGTTTTAATAACACAAATTTCATATACAATAAATACATATCAGATATTCAAAAAACATACCCAATAAATTTAAGGCATAGTTCAACAACACATTTTGCTTGTTTCACAATGCGACTAGTGGGTTCATTAAATTTGAGCGCATTAATCCCAATATACTGAACATCAAACTTGAGAGCAGCAAGCCTCCTAACAAAAACAAACAAAATCAGAATATTTATAGAAATAAACAAGTACTTTAAAATTTAAAAAAAAAATTATTAACCAGAATATACTCACTCTATTACAGCCTTTATCTAATACCATACAAAATTCAAAAACACCTTAAATGTTTGTTTTTTCTGTGCTCCAAGGAGAAAAAAAAAAATTCTTTAATTGTAAAAATAAATAAAAAATTATTTCCGTATTAACATCAAAGAGAAAAAATAAATTTTTGCATATATTTATAGCAAGTGTTGATTAGTGAAGTCTTGATTCTTCAAATATAACTTTGTTTTTGTCAATCAACGGGTATAATTATAGTGCAGCATTTTAATGGAGTGTTTCCTATAGACTTTTTCTTTCATTGTCATAATGCCTATAAATATGCCATTGATAAAATAAATAAAGAGGTGGGAAATTTACTGTCTGCAAGAGCATGAGCATCTTTTATTTAAAAAAATCTTGGAGACTATCTCCACCCATTTCTTTATGTTTAAAACATTGTTTAAATTGCAAATTCACTTTTCTCAAATAAAATTGCATTTTATGAAAAATTTAGGGGTTTTCAAATCTAATTTGAAGTAAAAATAATACATAAAAAATCAGAAAATAAAACATTCATTCTTCATACCAATCTTAAAACAAAGGAAGGAAGGAACTATTTTTAAATGGGACATGCTTTAAATAAAATAAATAAAAGATGAGAATCCTCAGAGTCCACAGTTTCCAAAATTTATCTTACCTAAATAGTCATACAGTATTGATAATAAATAAGTAAAAGTGATTATAAAATAAGAATGCTTAAAACACAAAATAGAAAGATATTTTGAAAATAGTTACCACAAAATCTTCATATTTAAAGTTAAACATCTTACATACTCAAAACTGAGGTATTAACAAATAAAAGTCTTATCTGATCTCCCAACACCATGTTATTTTAGGATATTTTATTATTTCATTTTATTTAATTCAAAATATCCAAAAATAAAACTATAAACATCTTTGTAACATATATGTTACCGGCAAAGTATGAAATGCCGGCATTGTATAGAATGCCTAGGAATTGTATATAATGTCGGATGTTTTTAGGCAAAGTATGAAATGTGAGAAGTATTACATACTTTCCCTAGGCATTGCATAAAATACCTAGGCATTCTATAGAATGACAAACGCTATTTAGGCAAAGTATGAAAAAAACATACTGATGAGGTTATTATGTAAATAATGTGCATTTCTCAAAAATAAAAAAGTTATTCCGAAAAAATAATTAGAGTGCCTTTAAAAAATTTATTCAAAATGCGTAAAGAAAAATGAAAGTTGTACAAAACATAATTTATGTCTTTCTTATTATGGGAAACAAAATGTTCATATAAAAAATTCACATTTATGTCACAATTATTTTCAGTTTAGAAACAAATATTGCACAAAATACTCATTTCATCACATTTACTAACATGGCCACAGAAGATTTTATACTTTGCCAGTTTCTCACTTGGCATCGTTTCATACATTGCCGGCTAGTTTTAAGCATTCTATAGAATGCCGGATTTCAAACTTAGCTGGTAACATATATAATATTTTCACCAAATATAATTTAACTATTTGCATAATTTAACCCTATATTTATTAAAGATAACAGAATACCATCCTAAACCAAAGATTTAAATTTAAAAAAATTATGCAAAATGTACCTGTAAAAACGATTTTGTAGCCTAGCTTTGATTGTACCCAGATCCATAGGATATTCCACAACAATTGCATAGGCAGGATAAACATTGAGGTCTACTGGAGTCGTAAAAGGTTCAGCAATAGAAAGCTCCATTATGCGTGTGAAGCCACTGGCAAGTCTGTCATTATCATAATCACGTCCAAACGCTGACCACTCGTGAGGCTCCGCTATATACATCATATTAAGTCTCTCCTCTGGAGTTATGTCAACACTTCCCCCTTCAACAGCAGGTAGACCTACAACAACCAAAAATAATATATAAATTATTGACAACAGACTTTTAATTGTATAAAAACAGAAATTAATTGAAAAACATAAAAAATTGGGAAAAAAACAATATTCTCTTTAATTACTCAAATAATTACTGAGTGTTAGCCATCAGAAATCCAAATCAAAATTATTGACCTACAGCATTGTACTATACTGAAAATCCTTATTACATTTTCAAGCAATCCAAAATGTATTTGAATTTTGAAATTCATGCCCGCGAGTAATTTTTCAAAGTTCTACAGTCAAATATTATAGGTGTCATATCACATTTATTTGGCAAACGAATTTCTTCTATTAATAAGACTGTAAGATGTTGTAAGAATCAACCAAGATTTGTTTGTAAACATATGTTTTTTTATTATGAATAAATTTTGCTCAAGATTAATTTATACATTTGCCTAAAATGTTTATGTTTGTTAACTGTTCATAGTCTAATATAAATAACTTATTGCAACTCTACAATGTAAATAACTGATACATGTGCCTAAAACATGTTTCTTATCTTCAAAAACTAACCCTAATATAAATAACTTATTACAATTCTAAATAGCAAATAACTGATGTTTTTGAGATGCCTCTTGTGGGGCATAGGTGCAAATAACTGACACATGTGCCTAAACACTTATGTGTATTATCTTCAAGAATTACCCCAAATATAAATAGCTTATTGCAACTCTACAATGCAAATAGCAGATGTGTCTAAACGCTTATGCTTGTTATCTTCAAAAACTAACTCGAATATATATATATAACTTATCGCAACACTACAATGCAAAAAAACTCAGATGAGCCTAAAAACACCAACTTTGGTAACATTCAAGAACTAACAATGAACATAAATAACTGATTACAACTCTCTACAATGCAAACTAATACACGCGCTTAAACACCTACGTTTATAATCTTCAAAAACTAACCCTAATATAAATAGCTTATTGCAACTCTACAATGCAAATAAAATTATCATGAATTGTTTTCACTACTTACGCTCAGCATCAATTCTTTCAAAATCCCATGGACTCATTTGTTCCCTTTCACCATTGTCCCATTTAACAAGAAAACACTGAAACATAGAATCAGGAAACAGTGGGTTTAAGGGTTTCTGAGCCTTGATAGTTCCCAACCACCAAGCTTTGTCTATAGCTGAACGAAACCTGTCACCTGAAAACAACAAAAATATAATTTTAAATATATGTAAAAATTTTAAAACTCAAAACACTGGCAGAATACAATACATCAAATGCTTGAAAATTTCTTTCAGAAGATCAAACTTTTTTTTAATGTAGTATAAATACACGCAAACAATATACTTCAGGCAAATTACTGTTCAAAGCAAATAGAAAATATTTTTATTCATGCCACAGAAATTTTTGGAAAAAAAAAGCTGAAATTAGAGCTGTAATTTAGAACTTTAGAAACAAGATTTTTTAAATTACAAACTAAACTGTAACATAAAGTAATGCTTGAAAGATAAGGATAATTTAAAGAACTGTAAGATAAATTATTTTTTTAATTAAATTAAACAGATTTTTAATCATAATCAGTAATTTCAATTTAGTTTAATGACTCTCTTACTAGTTATTTCTAAACATCATTACTTAACTCTCAAAAGGTATCATTTCTTACTGAAGAGATTTAATATTATGTATAAAGTTTTTTCTTTTATTTAAAAGTATGAGGTTTTGAAAAAGGATATTTTTTGAATTTTTAACACAGCAAAGCATTTATTTAAAAATTTAATATGCAAATGACCCCTCAGATTATCATTTTTAAGAATTTTGTGCTTATTGAATTGTTAATAGGATTAGAATCATTTTAAATAAATTCTACAAAGTGATAAATTTAAATTTTTTAACAACCAATACCAATCAAACAAAATTTGCTTTCATCTTCTAAAATTAGTAAATAAGTGTATGATCCATAATTTATCCTTAAGAAAATTAGGAAAAATCAAGCTCATTTTTCTTATCAAGTTTATTTTTCAATAAAATATTACCAAAGAGCCATAAAAATTCCGAAACAAATGAGTGAGAATAGGTAATATACATCAATCACTTTTGTATTATTCGTGGATGCAGATGTACCATTTTTGAAAAATATGGCAGAATGAACCTTTCCTTATCAATTTTACTAATAATTTTCTTTGATTCACAATTTTATACTATTGTAATTTTGAAGAACTTTATTAAATTTTCAATTTTGTCAGTCACTTGTAAAGAGAACATTGAAATTTTTAAGAATATTTTTTTAACCCACTATTTTATGAAACTTACTGAGTATATTATACAAAGTTTAAAAAAATACCAAAAAATTAAATTTAAAAAGTTTTATCATTTCTGTTAACTCATTAAAGAGAGGTTCCATATATTTACCTGGTTTCCAATCATAATACATGGCTGTATCATAGTTTTGTTTTAATATTATAAATTCTATAACATCTTCCATATCATGATACTTCACAGTAAATGTTTCAGCTAATTTGGTGGCAGGATTAGACAAAGCCAATTTCAAGCAACAAAGACGAGGAGGGTGGTTTTCAAACGTTATGTCTTCTATTATAGCAACTTCTTGGTCCTAAAAAGAAAAACAAAATGTTAACCAGGAATCAACTTTTCTGCATTTTTTTTAAAATCTTGATAAGCATGTTCACAGTTTGATAAGCACCCCTTAACTTGTGTGCTCGAGTTAAGTCGAGCGCGCTAAACAGGCCAAACTGTACACACTCTAGATAATTCGAGCAGCGTTGTATTTTATACTGCTATAATTTTTCATGCGCGAATATAATCGAGAATTGAAAATAACAATGTGTTTTTTAATATAAAGTGAGTTTTCTTACATCTAAAAAAAAAAAAAATTGGAGGGGGGGGCTGTTTTTTTTCAAAAACTTTGTGCATTAAGGGGTTAATAGTATTTTCCTGGGTATTTTTAATTATATTGCTCTTTTATTATAAGTAATTTCTCTGGTCTTTATTTTAAATTACTTTTTTTCCATAAATTATTCCCTCACTTTCAAACAGAGGAAACTTGATGAACAGCTTCAAGGAAAATTAACATTTCCATTTGGAGTTTTCATACACTAAAGACCGGCGGTATGCCGAAATAGTTTGGGGTTGAATTAATAGTGAAAACGCTGAATAGGACAATGCCTTTTTGCATAATTTGTGACAAAAGAAAAATATCACATTTCGGAAAAGGGAAAATTAAGCACCTTTTAAAAACACCCATGGAAAAAAGCACCTTTAAGGATTTTTAAAAAACTAAAATCGAAAATAAGCACCTTTAAGCACTTTTTAACAACGCTACGCACCCTGAATAACTACATAACTGCACAAACGATAAAATAAATTTAAAAAATTGTACAGATTACCTACCCTTATGTTATATTTTCTCCAAGGCTGATCGCGCATATATATGTCATAAGCTCTATTTCTTTTTACAGCCTGAACATACAACTCATGTCCTTGCCTAAAGTACATAATTTCATCTCCAATTTGAGGAACGTATGGTGCTTTATGTGGCATCACATCTGTTAACCATTCAGGCGGGCGGAAACGTTCAGGAAGCTTCTTGCCTTTTGTCTGAAAAATAAGTAAAATAAGCAATTATTTAAACAATAGAAATCATAACATGAATTAAGTTTAGCATGTATCAAATAATTCAAAACTCTTAAACAAATAAAAAATGACCTCAAATTTTTAAACAAGAGTATAATTTAATATCTTTCAACAATCAAACTTAGTATAAAAGAAATCAAAAATCGTGTTACATAACACCGCCATTAGAGCTGTGCTCACACGGTTTAGAGTCCTGGGCTATGACAAAATGACATGAAAATAGACTATCTATGAAACAAAGGCTTTGAAAAGGATTTTTTAAGTGTGATGAATATCAATGGTATATGGAGGCATAAAATCAATAATGAGATTTATAGATTGTATAAAGAGGTAGATATTATCTAACACATTAATGTAAACCACATCAAATTTGATGAACACGTCTGCTGAAGGAACCCTTTCTCCTTAACATTCAAAATCTTTACTTTAAAAATGATAGGAACCCAAACCAATCTCAGGCTAAATTTGGTAGACAACGTTGATGAGGATTTTAAAACACTGAGAGTGAACAACTGGAAAAACATGGTAGGAAAGATAACAGAATAGACAAAAAAGATCCTAAAGAAAGCCTAACGAGCCCTCAAATCAATAAAGAAGATAATTTAATATTAGTTTGAAAAAATAGAAACTATTTAGAAGACATTTTTATTATAACCCAAAAATTTACTAATCAGTTAAAGATTATTTAAATCAAGAAAATGCTTAAATTTTTAATAAGTTTACAATATTAACAAACTTACAGCTGGCATTTTTCCTTTATGAGAAACTTTGGATTTGGTTTTCCTAGGAGTTTTGGGAGGTGATTTTGACGATTCATCATCATCCATATCGTCGTCATCATCATCATTCTCTTCAGATTCACCATGTTCTTCATCAGAAAGAGCACGGCGTCGCCTTCTTCTTGCAGATCTAGCTCTACTAGAAAGCCCAGAAGAAGAAGGCTCATTTTCAGAAGGTTCTGTTCTTTCATATTTTTTTGTCTTCTTTGATGATTCAGCTTCCCAATCTGAATATTCACCTGATCCACTGCACGAAAAATTACACAAAAAATATATAAATATGTACTAATTTTAAGGGAGAGGATTCAAATTACAAAATAATTATTGAGATCTTTCTATGAGTCTTCATCAATCTTTTCTAAGAGTTGATACAAACACCTACTGAAAACTTCATATAGAAATTTTAAAAAAAACTACAATGACTTCCCTTTTTTTTTTACTTCACCGAACAGAAAGAAATCACTTACCATCAGATGCATCTTTTGCAACATTACATCGATTAACAGATATTGTAGGTCAAACTACAGGTTTGTATAATTTTATTATCTTTTACGCTTTTTCAGGGTTCCCACTCAATTTCAGAAAAAAATTCCCTAACTTTTCCAGAATTGATAGATAAATTTTAATAAAAATTCAGACCATATTTTATCGATAATATACAATTTTTCTTCAGAAAACTTTTATCTTTTTTTATTTGTAATTCCATATATTAGATTATGCGAAAAAATTATATCATTGAATAAGGATGGGAACATGTCAGTTTGACTAAAATGTGAAGTTTTTACAACAAATAGAATTTGACCTTATGCTACATCACTTGTAATATACTGTAATTAGGAATATACCACTCAGAAATAAAGTTGGTTATTTTTTTCCGTTACCATTTTTGAGTAAGTTTATGTTAGCATAACATCACAGTAGTGTAACATCACTTAATCTTTGTCTTTCTTTAAGTATTGTTGTCCTTTGTTCAAATTTTGCAACAAAGTCTTATTTTTTACTGTTATAATTTTTGCATAAAGATAAATAATTAAGCTATTGGGTGTAGAAATAAGTTATAAGCCGTTCGTCACATGATAGCACTACCAGAAGGTTCTGTAGAAATCGACTGGTGTTAAACGTCTTATTGTAAGCTTGTTCCTTTGGTAACAGCATAACCTTAAAGTATTTGTAATTCCGCATTAGCATTACACAATTGTTTTCGTGAAAAATGTCAAGTTTTAAGCTAAATAAGCATCATTTGAAGGAACTTTTAAATTACTCTTCCAATTTGAAGAAATCTGCAGCTGAGGCGCATCAATTGTTTGGAGAAGCACAATGATAAAGAATGCAGTGGAAGGCCGAAATTGTACGAAGACAAGGAATTGGAAGAAGATTTGTCCCAAACACAAATAAGAACTTGCTCTTACATTACAAGTGACTCAGCAAGCAATTTCACATTGTTTAAAATCGTTGGGAATGATCCAAAAACAGGGAAGTTGGGTTCCATACAAAACTGAACTTAAGAGACATTGAAAGTCAATTTTGCATGAAAATTGATTTTACTATTTGGAAACACTTCAATGGGAAGGCCTACACACCCGCCGCATTCGTCAGACCTAGCCCCTTCAGATTATCACCTATTGGCACATGGTGAGCAGACATTATCATTTGAAGAAATCAAGCAATGTGTTGATTCATGAACATCTTCGAAAGAAGAGTTCATCCAACGTGGTATCCGAATGCTCCCAGAAAGATGGGAAAAAGTAGTGTCTAGTAATGTAGAATACTTAGAATAAAAGATAATGAACAGTTTTTTGAAAGAAAATTACGAAAACTTATTAGTACTCCCAATAAAATATTTAAATCTTCTACAAGCTTTACATAGTGTTAATTTACATAATAGACTGCACAAATTAAAATTAGTTTATAGCAACAAATATCATCTATAAACAAAGTATTTAAGAGATACCTACCTATCGTTAGAACTATCAGTAAAAGTGTCTTCTTTTTCTTCCTCCTCCTCTTGCTCAGTTTCTGTTGCTGGAGAGCTGGGTACATTTTCTGGATTCTACCAACAAATAGAAATATATTTACTCAAACAAAAAATTTTAATTTAAATTTATAAATATAAAATTCTTAAAATTTTTCATGATTTAATAGACTACCGAATAAATACAGTAAAAAAGCTTTTATTTATTTGTTTTTTAAATAAAAGCAAGCTGCTAGTAACAAATATGGTGTTGAATTTATGTGCATTATTGTATTAGTATTGTGGAAAACTGGATTGAAAAAAAAAACTTTTTTATACATAAAAAAAAAAAAATTATTTTTTTTTAATTTAAAACCTTTTTTTTAATTTGAAACATTTTTTTAATCTCATAATTGAACACTATATTTCTCAATTTAAAAGAATTTTATTTTAAACCACATTTGTTTTTCTAAAACATAAAAAGAAGTTATTCATTTAGAACCTTCTAATGTAACACGCTTTGCAATCTTAACAACATCCAAACGCTTCCTTATTTTACTATACATAAAATTAAATTTTGAGAGCATTTGTTCTTATCCTGCATTTCATTTTATTTTAGCATTAACACTTGAAATTAGTTAACAAAATTATATATAAGTTAAAAATATAGATAAAACATGGAAAATAATATAATAAAAATTAATGAAAAGAGAAGAAAAATTATCAAACAATTTAAAAAAATATTTTTTAAAAAATTTTATTTAAAAAAAAAATTTATTTTTTTTATTAAATTTAAAAAAGATTTTTTTTCCTAAGAAAAAAAAAATATATTCATTAAATTATTTCAGTTAAGCATACATTTTTATCAGATTTGATACAGTGTAAAATAATCTTTATTTAATTAAAAATTAGTTAAAAGAAGTAATCTTACCTCAAATTCTTCTCCAAAGGCATTGTTAATTGCATCCTCTTGAGTTCGAGCTCTTGTTCCAGCACGTAAGCCTGGGCGCTTCAACCAGGAAAGATTGTCAGCTTCCATTTGAGATTTCTAAAACAATAAATCAGCCTGATTAAATTCCTGAAAATTGCTTACAAATAACAAAACAAAAACAGAAATAAGATTTTTATTATACTATTTTCAATAAGGTAAAAAAAATTTGATAGCCCACAATAATAAGTAAAAAGCATTTCCAACATGTTGTAAATACACAGACTTTCAATTGTTGCGATGAATTAATTTTTTAATTCCAAGTCATTTCCTTTTTTTTTCATGGTCTTTTTTAAGGTTAAAATAAAATAAAAATCCAAATTTAAAAAAGTTTTCAAAAAATTAGATAAATCTTATGTAAAATTAGCAGCTTTTTGAAGGCGGAAATTTATCACATGGTTACAAATGTTTAAGTTTTTTTTTTGTAATTTTAGAAAAGAAAACAAATTTATATGACAATTGTATCAATTATTTCCATTCCATTTTAATTTTACATCNATTTATAATTAAAAAAAAAAATTTAATTTTTTTTATTTAATTTAAAAAAGATTTTTTTTCTAAGAAAAAAAATATATATTCATTAAATTATTTTATTTAAGTATACATTTTTATTAGATTTGATACAGTGTAAAATAATCTTTATTTCATTAAAAATAATTAGCAATTAGGAAGCACACACAATAGAAAAAATGAACTGAGCTGACTTTCTTATTTAAAATAAATTGAGGTGGCATCTCTACATTCAGAGGTTATCATATAAAACTAAAATTGGTAAAAAAAAAAAAAGAAAAATATAAATACTTTTCTTTCTTGTATGCAATAGCACAGCTAAATGTTAAAAGAAGTAATCTTACCTCAAATTCTTCTCCAAAGGCATTGTTAATTGCATCCTCTTGAGTTCGAGCTCTTGTTCCAGCACGTAAGCCTGGGCGCTTCAACCAGGAAAGATTGTCAGCTTCCATTTGAGATTTCTAAAACAATAAATCAGCCTGATTAAATTCCTGAAAATTGCTTGCAAATAATAAAAAAAAAAAAAACAGAAATAAGATTTTTATTATACTATTTTCAATAAGGTAAAAAAAATTTTGATAGCCCACAATAATAAGTAAAAAACATTTCCAACACGTTGTAAATACACAGATTTTCAATTGTTGTGATGAATTAATTTTTTAATTCCAAGTCATTTGCTTTTTTTTTTCTTGGTCTTTTTTAATGTTAAAATAAAATGATAAAAATCCAAATTTAAAAAAGTTTTCAAAAAATTAGATAAATCTTATGTAAAATTAGTAACTTTTTGAAGGCGAAAATTTATCACATGGTTACAAATGTTTAAATTTTTTTTTTTTTTTTTTTGTTATCTTAGAAAAGAAAACAAATTTTTTGACAATTGTATCAATTATTTCCATTCCATTTTAATTTTACATCAATAAAAGACTATATAAATAATAGGATTTTTTTGTAGATTAAAAAATCTATATGTCATATGCATCTGTGATTAAAAATTATTTTAATTCAAATTTATTTAATCAAAAAATACTTTTCACAGTATTCATTTTGTTTCATCTTTTCATGTAATGAAATCATGCAAAGAAAATGGATATTTTTGTCTAAATATTAGAAAATTTTGTGAAATATTTCCATTCTCATTTAAAAAGAAATCTCTAAATAAATTAAACCCCATCCTAGTCCATATGTCAATTTTATTAATGAATACGTACTCTGCTAGACTCTGGCTGTGGACGCCACTTCCGTTCCTGGTTGTAAAGATTCATTTCATGCTCAGCAAGGGTGACTCTTGTTTTCATTAGAGAATTAGCCATAGATTGTTTTATTGGTCTCACAACATAACGCTTTGATGTGCACTGCATGTCAGGTTGGTTTCCTCTAGACTGCCAATTCCCCACAGACTGAACACCTTCAACATCTCCGGTTCTTCTCAAACCGACGCGGCTATGAGCTACAAAAGAAAATTTCTCAATAAGACCAATAACTGTTGAAAACTAGTTTCATTAAAAAATATTTTTCAAATTTCAAAAATGGCATAGGACAAGAGATTAAATGTACTTCAACCCTGTGGCAAAATTGAGGCTACACGGCGACAATGTAGCAAAAAGTTACTGAGTTTTTGCAGAAAGTTACTGAGTTTTTGCAGAAAGATTTTTCATTTGGGGAGGGAAAATTTCCTTTCTGCATAATTTTTCGAAAAATGTTTTTTTTTTTCTGCAGAATTTTTTTTTTCCATAGACTTATTTCTTGTGCATTAGAGAGGAGAAAAGAAATAAGCGTGGTTTTTCTATTCTCATTTTGGATTTAAAAAAAGTCTGAAATGACTGGCTTCAGCTGGAATTTCAAAATAAAAAATTCAGAAATCGCAAAAGTTTAAAAGACAGTTTGCTCTAAAAATGTTTTTTCTTTCGTTTTTTTTCTTCTTATTATTTGAATATCTCTTTTTTAAAGAGTTTTATTCATGCGATTTCGTTGTTGATCTTTACTTTGGAGTTACTGCCCAGATTTCAATTAATGTACGAATTTTAATTTATTAAAGAATTTTAATTTTTGTAATGATTTATAAAATTCGAGAAAATTCCAAATACAAAATGCGAGAAAGCGCCGATAACATTAGAATTAAAATATTACTCTTACAATTAAATTTTTTAAACGTTTTATTCCATATTTTCTTCCGTAAACACAATGTTAATGTTTCTGTTACTTTAAATTAGTAACTGTTATAATTAAAAGTATCTTAAAAATTATTAATAGTTAAATAAATATTAATGCTAAAATAAATATTTATTTATTCAAAGTTAAATATTAATGCTAGGGAAATTTGTCGCAGAAAGTCTGAAAAAATTCTGCCACAGTGTACTTTCTGAAAACATTTTTTCATTATGTATCACAAAAACATTTTTTCATTATGTTATGAATCTAACTTTTTTTATTAATTTCAGCATATTTTCATTTAACTGGCATAAATGTGAGCTTGTTATTAACAGAGTAATAACAGATGCAAAATCAGAATTCTGCACTGCAACATGCTGAACTATTTCTTTCATAAAACAAGGTATTCTTCATGGAATTTTTTAATTTCTTACTACTTTATTTAGTATGCATGTAAAATTTAACTAATAGCGTTACAAAGCATTAGTTTTATAGAAACTTGATTTTGGTATGAATATGCTTAGAATGTCTGAAGTCTAATGGCCTTAAGCTCTTAAGGCCAAGTTCTAGCTCTTAAGGCCAAGTTAGGCCGACTATTCTGCTGTATTGAGATATATGTTTAAGACACAAAATTTTTTCAATGTATATTGTTCTCAAAAATTTTTATCAGAAAATTTGAACAAAATACTAAATTTACTTTCTAAAATAATTCAAAAAATTCTTGTGTTTCAAAAAAAAAAATATTAAGAGGAATTTCAAAGTAAAAACTATGTTCTAGGGAAATATTAGACTAAGAATAATCTGCATCCATAGACCAATAAAATTATAAGTTCAATAAAAAAAATTATAAATTCTTAACAATAAAATTATCAAATATCATTCAATGAAATATCAGAATCACTTTTCTAAAGATATATTTTTTAATAAAACACTACTCATTAAATAAAAACTTAGTAATTCTTACATTTGAAAAGATTAAAAAAAATTTCGCGGATTTATATTTGTTGCTATATTATTTTTCGGGGATTCTGATATTGGCTAAAGGATATTTTTAAAGATGCCTATGAATAGTTTTTAAATCAACCAAAATAACAAAGCAGCATCATAAGAAAAAACATCTTAGAGAACAGTAATAAGAAGATAATTAATTTGCAAAAGAGTTACCTGCTTGAGAACGAGGTGTACGTGGAGAAAATGGATCAGGAACACCATTTTGCTCACTCTCGCTGTGTCCTCGTCGACTGGAATTAGGTGAATCGGGTGGGCCTCTCCTGGATCCACTTTCACTACTATTATCTCGATTATTCTGATTCTGCTCTTGCTGGAGTCGCTCAATCATATCATCAATTGTTGGTCTATTAGAAGGAATATCATTAGCAGAACGAACAGGTTCTAGAATTTCAGCCTCACCTATAAATAAAAATTAATCATGATTTTAAGAACTATGCTTAAGATAGAAAAAATTTAATAACTAATATAAACCAAGTGATAAAAAAAATTTACAAATGCTAAAAATGAAAAATATAGAAAAAAAGTCACAATTGTATCGAGCAATTGACAGTTTAAAATGGGAAACAAATAAAACTACTATAAAGATTCTAGTAAAAGTTTTATCGAAGTTTATCATAACAATTAATAGCTGTACAAATTCCTGCTTTTAATATTTTTAATTGACTTTTTATTGAAAAAAAGCAGATTTCTGAAAGATTTTAAGTGCGATAAACATAAATTAGGAGGATTGAGTAAAGAGGAAAATTACCCCTTTAAACCATTTTTGAACTATTACCTATCACATAACCCAGACAATCAAACATCATTCTTTCAGTTCACTTAAACCTCAAAATTAAACATCAAATGTAGTACTCCCAAATTCTTTGCTCTAAACATAGATGAATGTGATCAAAAGAGTTTTTTCCACCTTTTTTTCAAACTGTTCCTTTATGCATTTAAGAAACATTTCATGCAATATTTATAAACACTTAACTTTAAATAAATGCAATAATACAGTTACAAAATTCAATAATAGCAAAACCTCACCTCAACAAACTAATGAGGATATTTCTAATTTTTTATTAAAAAGATTTCTTTAAAAGATCATTAAAATTAAGAAAAAAAACTTCTCTTTCATAAATTTGTAATTGAAATGAATAACTAAAGAAACAAAACTTCCACAGCAAAATTATGATCTTTGAAAATTATAACTCTTTGCCATGAAAATAACATGGCAAACTACAATTTTGCAAAGCTAGAACCACCTTAACTGAAATCAGCTAACAACATACTTCCTTAAAAAGTTTATATTTTAGTAATCAATAAGCTTTTCCTAGATAATTAAATTCATTTAAAAAGGAAATTATGCATTACTATTATTAATATAATTATGAAAATAATCATTAATTAAATTAATAAAACTGATATTAACAAACCATTTGCAGAGACAGCAACATAAGGGACAAGTTGAGAATCATTACAATATTCACGACCAGGAACAAGACGCTGAAATTGAGGTGGGTATGGGTTTCCATCTATATCAACTAAAAATGGAGGTGGAAGCAAATGAGGTGCTGTTTGAGTCTGCTCATCCAGAACATGGTGATGGATATCTCGTATGAGAGGCCGATAGTCTGTATGAAAAAACTGTTCCTCAGGAACCTAGAAAAAAATTTCAAATTATGCTTATGAAACTACATAGATCTGAAAGATCTTATTATTTCAAATATCGTGCACATTCTTTTTCATAAGAAATATTTTGCTACTATAATGAGTTCAATATTTATATCCATTGATAATAATTAAATTATTCCTTCATGTAATTGGAACAATATCAATGTCATACAAATTAAAAACGAAGTATATAGCAGGGGAGATAGAAACACAAACCCTGGTAATTTTTGTGTGCAAAAAATCGACATAAAGATATCAATTTACATAACATACATGTTTTGTATTTAACATAACATTTTGAAGTAAGATTTCTAATTAAAACACCTACCAATGAAGAATACCACAACTTTATAATAAGTAAATAATTTTAGAAATATCTTAAACCGTGATTTTAATTGTGAGAATATGAATCGCGCTTTTGGGTTTTGAAATCACATGAATACGAGTTGTGTTCCAGAAATTCGCGTGAGTACGAATCAAGCAACTGGATCTGAAAAACGTGTAAATACAAATTGCGAAATTGGATTTTTATATCACGTGAATATGAATCGCAACGTATAGCTTTTAAATTAGGTAAATACCAAAATCCACATTTGATATTCGATTCGTGAAATTGGCGTATTCCAGCAGTTTGAAATATTCAAAATGGGGAAAATGTACCAAACCAGAAGAATCAAATTGGATGTCTACCCATTGGTGGAAGATTTATGTGTACGTAGAGCTTGCTTTAATGGGAATTAGCGAAAGATTCAAAATTTGAATTTTAAATTGCGGAATCCCGGGAAAATGATCTNAGCATTCTTCTTGGCACCCTTTTCTGTATCATTCATGTTGGCAAATTCCGCCCTTTTTTAAAATACACAAGAAAAAATAACAAATTAAATAAACGTGAACAAAATCTAAAAACCGACGTATAACCGATTCTGTGCGTCGTATAAACGATATATTTTGACATTAAAATGAATAGGAATGATTTGGGACCACACTAAAACGTCGTATAAATGTAAACGTCGTGTAAGTGATCGTCGCATAAACGATGCTCCACTGTATTCAAAATGGGGAAAATGTACCAAACCAGAAGAATCAAATTGGATGTCTACCCATTGGTGGAAGATTTATGTGTAAGTAGAGCTTGCTTTAATGGGAATTAGCGAAAGATTCAAAATTTGAATTTTAAATTGCGGAATCCCGGGAAAATGATCTCGCATTATAAGTTTTTGATTACTTATAATCTGAGAACCAACGGTCTCGAAAAACACAGAATTCCGCGACATTTGCAGAAAAATCACATGCCCTGCACCTAATATTTAGATGCGGAAGGACAATATGAAAAACCCAGAATTCAAGGATACCCCCTCAACACAATCACTGCCTGATATCGGCATTTTTTTTAAATAAAAATATGGTATTTGAAATTTTAGACACTATCTTTTTTAATAATGTTTTTGGAAAAGAAAAATTTTTCAAGAAAATTTAACTAGCTATTTGAAATCCTGATAAAATTTGATAGGAAAGTAATTTGCGCTTAAATTGCGAGTCAAAGAGTAAGATATTGTCACATGCTTAGCTGTGGATTTGTTTTCCACTCCCCAGCTATGAAAGATTAATTTTTAAAAAAGAAAAAAAAAAGTGAGTTAAAAATAAAAATTTACAGCCAAAAAATTAACTTAAAATTAATTAAAGATATTGTCATGCAAAAAAAATATATGAATAAAGAAATAAAATCAAATTAATATTTAACTGTATTGTGAAGTAAATGGTACTGAATTATTTAAAAGCAAAAAATATTTCAAAAAACATTTATTTTTTTAAGGCTACATTCAAAGAAAATAAAGATAAAATGTAGCCATTTACAATTATTTTCCTTTTTTTTAATTTCTAATATAATTCTGCCATGAGAAAAGAAGCTAATTAATCTTTTTAATTCATATTTATGAATATAACTTTATTAAGAGTTAAAAATAACTTTACAATAAGCATAAGAAATATATGGAGGGGAACTGAAAATACGAATTTTAATGAATACTTTATAAAATTTAAATCAAACTTAAAGCTACATATTTAAAATCAAATCAAATCAAATAGATTTCAACTCAGTAAATTTCTTTTTCCTACAAATTGAAAAATGAGAAAAATTTCAGAAAAAAAACTTACTTTTTTGTAACGATCAGCTGAGCCAAATCCAAAAATACTCAAATGACCATGTGAATCTGTAGATGCAAACATTAATCCATCAGGAGAAAACTTACAATCAAAAACTGCTCCATGACCCTGTCCTTCAATCTACAAATGAAAATTTAATTATTTTTTCTTCATAAAATATAGTATGAAGTATTATAATAACAGGGTTGCCACAGAAAAAAAAATGAACAAAATAGCTGCTTTCAGTAGCCAAAAACTAGGAAAATAGTTGCCTAAAAAAGAACAAAAATATGACTAAAATTTTGTTAATGACTTAATTGTCATATACTATGATATTCAGTCAAGTGATATTCAGTCAGGTTGGTGGCAAATATGATAATTTTTATATAAACGTAAATGTTTATGAAAAGTGTTTACTAAAATTTGAAATTCACACATCGTAATATCGTATATATATTTTATTTATTTATTTATTTTTAATTATGCAGAATTTCGTAGCAATAATCATTGAAAAGGCGATCGAGAAATGAAATAGATTTACAATGGAGTTTGAGCCGATTGAACAAATTAAAAAGTGATAACTCAAATTTGCAATTCAAAATTTTTTATTTTTTAAGAAGAAAAAAGTTTAGTATGTTCAGAAACTATCTTATGGGTGCAGATTTTCCACCCAATTTATACTTTAAAAAAAAAAAAAAAAAAAAAAAAAAAAAAAAANAAAAAAAAAAAAAAAAAAAAAAAAAAAAAAAAAAAAAAAAAAAAAAAATAATAAAAAAAAATAAAAACATCGCTAGGAGTTCAGAAAAGTCCCCCAATAGTCTCCTTTTCCCGAAAATAGTTGCTTTTTTAGCCTTTTCAAGCAAAAAAAGTTGACATAGTCGCCTCATGCCAAAAATAGTTGCATTTTAGTCATTTGTGGTAACCCTGTAATCATGAATAACTGACTTTATTTTACTTAATACAAAGTTATAAGTCACTAAAGAACTTAACAATATCACTTAAACTCCGAATCATTAGATTCTATAATTTAAATTTTTAAACGATCTTTGATGTTTTAATCGGTGAGAATTAAAACTTTGCAAAAGGACTGGAATTTCAAAGAATTTGATTATCAGCAATAAAATATTAGATCATAAAAAGTAACTTACTAAATTAAAATGATTTTTTATGACTGTGCCGGTGACTAGATCCCACAGTATGATTCGGCCATCGTGTCCGCTACTCAAAAATATTCTTGGATCAATTGGATGAGGTTCCAATACAAATACTTCATCTTCATGTCCCTTTAAAATAAAGAATTTTATTGTTATACTATTTTTGATATTTAATATAAAAAGTTACTTATTTAATAGGAGCATAGTTAATTTTTCTTTCTTTGAGGAGTTGATACTAGGAATGGACTAGAATTTAGAAAACTAAGGTAAGCATGACATGGTTCCCAAGAAAAAAATTCCTTATTTTATCAGGATAATTTCAATGAAAAACTATATTTTATCTATACTACATAATTTTTCTTCAGACAACTTTGATTTTTTATTTGTAATATCAAATATTAGATTTTGTGAGCAAAGAAACATCACTGAATGAGGATAGAAGCATGGAAGTTTGACTAAAATGTGAAATTTTTACTATAAAAAATTTTAATAAATGTTGGATTTATTTAAAGTTCTCAAATCTTAATAACTGATTACTGTTACTGACAATTCTGAGACTGGTTATTTTCTAGGTATGATGCAGGAGCTTTCCAAGTTGCTGCTTTTTTTAAAAATTTCAATTTTCCTTGACTATTCCCTACTTTTAAGAGGCAAAATAAAATTTCCGGACAATTCCAGGTTTTCCCTGTTCTCCCTGACCTGTGGGGGCCCTGTATGAGATGATCACATCAATAAATTAAAGCAAAATACCTCAAAGATGACTATTTAAATGATTTAGTTCAAATTTTAATATTAATTCATTACTTTGATAACAGAAAAATTCCCTTTAAACAGCATTTTTGCTTTATCTTAATTCAACAATTAAAAGTACTTAAAAACAAACATTCCTTGTGTTTGGATTCCCAAGTTCAATTACAAATTATTCATTAGTATTACAAATTTCTCATCACTCATATAAAACAAACAAAACTTTAAGTTTACATTATTTTGGAGTCCTGGTGAAATCAATGATACACATTTAAAAATGAGGGAAGGAACAAAAAATTAAGAAAATTAACTGTTCATCTTAGTGCCTTGAATAAACTATCACACAATATACAAATAAATATTAATACTATTTATATATATTGCTACAAATCTATTGAAAGCCTTTTAAAAGCTCTCAACTCAGGAATATACTTAGTTATGGTAAATTGGTAATCTATATGAGCATATTTATAAAAGTAAAAATCATATAAACATACTTTTAAAATAAAACGTAGATTTCCAGAATTAGAATCCCAGATTTTTATTGTAAAGTCACTAACGGCCGTTATGACTCTGCTATCATCAAGTGTCCAACCGACCATTGTAACTCTCAATTTAACTTTAGTATCTTCAGGTTCATCCGACTGTGTGCTGCACCATAAAAATACAATTATTTCAAACAGTTGGAACGCAAAGTATTAGAACATTAAAAATACACAAAAATTATTAAAAAATATGTTCCAATTCTGTTTCTAAAATGAAACTCAAAATAAAGGGAATGAAGTTCAACCCATTAACTAAGAGCTGTTTTTCTGTGAAAGAAAAAAGTCAATTTGAAAGTGGCAGTTCGAACACTTCTTTAATAGATGCTGATTTTCGGCAAACATAGTTTAATAAGAAAATGACAGTAGAAATCTTTTATAATAACATTATCATGCAAAAATATTTCAAATTAGAAAAAGTATTTTTACAGGGTATCTGCTACATTTTAGATTTTCAAATTCATGACTTTCCATGACAAATTCCAAGAACTTTCCATGACTTAACGAAGTTACAGAATAATAAATTTAAAAAGCATTATAATAGCATTAATTTAAATGATAGGTATAACCAAAACTGGTTTACTCTGCATCTTCATATTTATTGATTTTAAATTTAAAAAACAGAGTAAAGAAAGAGTTGAAGCAATGAAATAGCTGGAAAAATAATAACTGAGCAAAAAAAAAATTTTCTGCAGAATTATATTCTAAAGATACTTTTCTTATTGTTCATCAGAAAGGAAAGAAATACTCCTGCTTTTTCTGTTTTTATTTCGGAATATAAAAAATTTGCCAATGACTGGCTTGCTTCAGCTAGAATTTTAAATTGATAAAACAAAAAATAATAAATAATAATAATTCTGAAATCACAGAAGTTTAAAAGATAATTCGCTCTAGAAATGGTGTTTTATCTTTCATTCTTTGAAAGAACACCATAATTCTTAAAGAACATGATAAAAACATTTTATATTTTAGTAAAATATGACTCTGAGTGGGGATTTTGTTACAATTCAGATATTCAGAACACCATGTAATTGGGGGGGGGGGTAAGTTCCATTTTAAAAATTAGATTTTNAAATCATGACATATCATGACAAATTTTGTTCAATACCGAAATTCGTGACTTTCCATGATTTTTCATGACTTTTCAGATGCGCAGATACCCTGTATTTATTAAAACCTCGACATGTTTAGATGCCACCACGTAGCACGCTACATAAAACAGAAGGAATAATGAAAAACAGAAATGATACAAATTGACAGGTTGCGTCACAAATTAGCCTAATCTGTCTATGTGTATAATCTTTTTTCTACTATTTCTTCTGTTTTATCCTATTGATGATAATGGTCCCTATGGCACCGAAACACATCTAGTTTTTAATAAATCCATTATTTGTAATTTAAACATTTTATTTACCTAATCAGAGGTACATTTAGTAAAAAAATCAAACTTTTTCATCATATAAAAATTAATTTGTAATATTTTAAATAAAAAGAAAATCAAATTAGCCAATTCATATCTTTATAACTTCATTTAACTGCTTAATTTAGATAACTATAGGTTGTTAAGATAAGTTTATTTTTTTTTTAAATTTCTTGATCTGTCACATGCTTGTAAAATGATTTCTTTCATAAGCTTCTTTTTTTTTTAATAAAATGATTCTATGAGTTTTAAATTTTCATCAAAAATGTAACTTTTATTTTTAATTTCATCAACTGGTTTGGCATTATCTACATTTTCAGAGCATAACACAAGCACTAATTGGTATATAAGTAAATATAAACATATAAAAGTTATCTAATGATACACAGGTAAAAGCTAACTTATTTTTGAAAACTTAAAATATTGAGATTTATTTTTACAAAAAATCATATTTACTTCATGTTTCTATTGTGAAAAAAATCTTCATGTTTTGCAACAATTGCAATCAAATATTCTTTATTAAAATAAAATTCAATTGAGTAAATATTAAAGCTTACCCAGGAAGTTTAGTGGTCATTTTCAATTGAATACTAGTCCAGTTCTGTTTTTTATATTGCCATATAGATGCAGTTCCATCTTTGCTGCCAGTGATAAACCGACAATCAGAATTGCTAAACTGCAAGCTATCAACTCGATCCTAAAATAAAGGGAATCGTTTAAGAATTATAATAAAGTAATTCTTATTGGCACTACATACAGCACACATTAACATGCATAATTGTAAGAAGTAACTTAAAATAAATTTCATTAAGATATATACTCACTGTATGAGCTTCTCTTTCTAAAATCTTTTCAGGCCCATTGGAACCAGCAATATTATAAACTCTAACATTATGATCAGTACTACCAGTTGCCAAAAATAAACCACCTAAGCAGGAAAAACAAGCCACATCTTATAAGTTATTCAAATACTAAATTAGGTATATTTATATAATTCACAACCTTGGCATTATTCAAAAGTTCCTTTTAAAAATTAACTCTAATAAAACTACATTTTACAAGATTATAAACTATGCTATTAGCCAGCTAACCAAACAAACTTTTGTTCAGCTCGTATCACAATGGGGAATTTTTTTTCTTCGTAATTGTAAGTAATATCATCACACCTCAAGTAATTTCCATGACAAAAAAATTTCATCATGCACAATGCAGAGCCGGGAATAAGACCTAATAGTTCAAAATATTATTCGATTAAATATGTCCATGACAAAATATCTCATTATACCCAGTTAACGGATTAAATAATTATCAGTTGCATAGTGTGATAAGAATACTAATAACAAAGCATATGTAAGAAAAACAGCTACTGGAATACTTATTTAACAAATAAAAATTGTCCACTCAGAGCTAAATCTTCATCGCTTGCTCACTAAAATGTTTGTTTTATCTAATAATAATGATGATAAATAAAATACAATAACAAAAAATGGAGTAGATAACATAAATGAATACTTTGGTAAAAAAGTTGTCAAATTTTTACAAACTACAAGTAGACTTCTTAATAACTGAAATACAATTTTAATCTGTCTCCTTTGATTGAAAAAAATTAAAGGTGACAAGAACAAGATTGTTTGAACAGTTTTAAAAAACAAATGTTTTCAGATTGCAATGATTAATAATTTTTTTTCTTCAAAAAAATAAATTAGGTATTTAAAAGGGGGAAAAAAAAAAGCTGTTTCAAAAATCATAAAAATTTACTTTTTGCATTCAACTGTAAAACATTTGCATTTTTTCACAATAAAAAGCCATTTAAACAATACTTAAATTTATCAATTATTGAAGTAAAGTAAAACTTATTTATGTTAAATTAATTTACTTGGATAAATTAGCATTATTCATACTACACTTCAATATCAATAAATATAAAATAGATTTTAAAAAAAGCTTACCTTTGCTAAATGCGGTACACAACATTTGAGCATTAGGTTTATTACGTTCAGTAAATTTCAATGGCTTTGGGCTGGAAAAGTACATGAATTATTTAGTTACCTAAATAATAAAAAATAAGATTTTTTAAAAAATAGAAAGAAAATATAAATATATAATTACTTGAATGTGTTATTTTTTGGATTCCATTGCCAAAAGCACACACAGCCATCATTTCCAGTTGATATCAAAAGATGATCTTCCTTCTTAGGGTAAGGACAAAACTATAAAAAAAAATGCTCTAAATTAATATAAATTAAATCAAAAAGTAACAGATTTAAAGGTTCAAATTATTGCAGATATTTTAAAAGTAAAGGTATGGTGGTGGTATTGTGGTAAAAGTGAGGGTATTGTGATAGCATCATCACAAGTATAAAATAAATTAGTAAAATATATCAAAAAATAAAAATTTAAAAAAAGCTTTGAGTTAATATTATTTTCACTCACAAATTTGTCATTCTTTTGCTCGTAATCATTGAGCGACAAGGACTGCTTCATTATCTCCCAGAATATTATACAGTAGAGAACCGATTATCTGGAACGATCGGGACCATCGCGATTCCGGATAACTGATTTTTCCGGTTTTCTGAATCGCTACAAAATGCCGTTTTTTTAATGTTTATAAAACGAAACTAAAAAATTATTTTGAAACAGTTTTAGAAATAATAAAAAATTATAAATAATAATACACTTAAGTTTAAATAAGGAAAGAAATTATGAAATAAAAATTATATACAGGCTTATATATGTTATTAATGTTATTATTAACATTAATAACATATGTAAGCTATTTGTGCTTATGTGAGATTCGTCTACAAACTGCTTTTGATCCGTCCTCTAAATCAGTTCTTTCGTCAACTCAATACACTGTACGCTCTAAATAACAAAATGGGCTCAAAATCTTGCAGGAAAAAAAAATATTTTTAATGAAAGAAAATTAATTTCCGGTTCCGAATTTCATTCCGGTTATATGGTTTTCCGGTTTTCTGATTTCCGGATAAGAGGTTCTGCACTGTATTACCTCCCAACCATTTATAATTCATTAAAACCGATAAATACACTAACACCAGAAGGCCTTTATATGCAAATAAAAATAAAAAAATAATTAAAAAACAATTAATATAGATGTAAAAGATAATTTTAAGATATAAATAATTTTAAAAAAGTTTCAAACTGCGAAGAAAAAAATTAAATTCAGTAGCAGAAAAGTTTTTCTACAATGGAATGAACTTTCCTTTGCAGTTGTTTTTATAATTCCCAAATTTGTATTATATTAAGAAAAGAAAAAGAAAAATAATAGCATTGACACTATAATTTTGATAGAAAAACCTTTTGATATCTTAATAAATATTATCTACAATTCAAACAACAAACAGGTGACAAAACGCTACAGATATTTACCTGTAGCAGGGGTGATTGCGAGCCCCAACTCAAAAATCTTGAAAATTTCTCCAATAAAATCATTAATTACATATTGCAAAAAATTAACGTCTTTATAAATTAAAATCATTGATATTTTCAAAACATGAAATTCTAAATAAATTATATGCAGCATAATTTAAATGAATAATTATGCATAAGTTTACTTTTATCTCTAATCACATTTATTATTCTACTAGAAAAAATATTTACATATGCAGGGGTGATTGTGAGCCCTAGTCAAAATTCCAGAAAATTTCTTGAGTAAAAAATAAAAAAAAGTTTAAAATTAGAATAAAATTTGAACAAGGTTTTTTCCTTTTTCTCACTATTTCTTAGTTTACTTAAAATATATTTAATATTTTACACATACCTATGATGACCTGGAGAAGTAATTGAAATTTACAAACATGTCTTTCTTTCTTGAGTTTATGATTATAATAAATATTTACTGATAAAAAATGAATATTAATCTTGAATATAAGCTTATAAAGTAGGCTCTCCCTCACAAACAAATAAAATAAACTGTGTTTTTAAGTTCCACCGAAATAAAAATTTGATTTCGGAAACTTTTGTGATCAATGAATTTTTTAAACGTCTGAACCTCCGATCTCCGGAAACTTCCTGATCACAGTTAGCGAAAAATCCAGAAATCTGAACTTTTTCCGGAACACAATCAGCCCTGCATATGAAAGAGATGCCAAGTATAAATTCGAGTTCTAATATTTCTAAAAAAAAAAAAAAAAAAAAAAAAAAAATTTTAATACATAAATGTGATCAATAATTTCTTGAAATTTTTGGACCTCGGATTTCCGGAAACTTCCTGATCGCATTTACCGAAAAATCCAGATTTTTTCAGGTGCACAATCATCTCTGCTGTAGTGAGGTAACCAATCCTATTGCAGTTGTTTTTATAATTCCCAAAATTGCATTATGATAAAAAAAAAAGTAAAATAATAGCAGTGACATTATAATTTTGATAGAAAAACCTTTTTATCTCTTAATAAATATTATTTACAATTCACACAACAAACAGGTGACAAAACGCTACTGATATTTACCTGTAGTGAGGTAACCATTCCTGTGTGCGCATTCAATACAGCTACAGGAGCTGTAGTACGAAGACACCATACTCTTATGGTTTTATCACAGCTGCCAGCAGCAAGTAATGTATTTTCATAATTAACTGCCATATCTGTGATTTCTGCAGAATGTCCACGTAAAGTAGCTAATAAGCGACCATCCGTAGCACACCATATTTTCACTAGAAGATCATCAGCACCCTGGAATTATAAGGAAACAGAAGTTTAACATTTCTAAAGAGTACAGAATTTTTTTTTAAAAGGTATAGAAAACTTAGCTTACAGAAACATTCAGCGTTCATCAAGGAATGTTCTTTTAACTTTGAAATTAGTTTTAACTTGAGTAAAAATAAATAAACATTTGAAAAAAGTTTAAGACCTCTTTCAGACCATTAACACAAGGAAGTTGTGCATCAACAGTGTAATAAGTAAAAACATTAAGAATATAAATTGTAGTGTATTAATGATATGTAATATATAATTATAACAATGATATAAAATATTAATGAAGAATAATTTATTATGAAAAAAACAGGGAACTTCAAGAATTAATTATAATAAAAATATGAGTGAAAATCATATTTTAGATTAATAACACATCAGTAGTGAAAAAATAATAGCAAAAAGCAGTGAAAGAAGTATTAACATGTCAGAAAATGAACAACATGGGATGTGATGAGTAAAACTAATATTACATAACTACTTCAGAAAGTTTTTGCAAATTGTTCAACTTCTTTTAACAAAAGTTTTATAGTATTTAATTACAATTTATGCAAAATATAATTATTTTAAAATATATATATACAGCTTTCTTCTTTTTAATTCCTCAAAAGTTAAAGTATCTTTTCCGGTTTAAAGAAAACTTTTGATGTATTACTTTTGATTCATAAACCATTTTCTTAAAGCTAGTTCAACACAAGAACCAAAAAACAGGCTTTAGCATGCTAAGCACCATAAGCAAAGGTTTATCATGAAAAGAGCAATCTTTGTTATACATAAAAGCAATCAGGTTATTTATAATAAAATTTAGATATCATACAAAAATTAATACATTATTGATTAACAGATACTATGCAATGAATGCTAACTTCACAAGAATTTAAAGCAAAATATATGTAAAAAATAGCTACCGTAAATATATATTTTCCTGTTCTATCAAAGAGTACACAATATACTGAAGACAAATGGCCAAGCAATCTGCGATAATTTTGTTGACGAGCATATACTTTTGGTGTAAATGTATGAGCACATGATAATGAGCCACTTAATTCCCTCGACATAAGAACTTGAGCTGTAAAAAAAGAATAATAAAGTTTTGTAACTTAAAGAAAACTAAGTTTTACATAGTTTTCTATTTATTAATTTTTTTACCAATGTTGGGTGGATAAGTAGACTGAGCTGCCTGCGACGGAAGCAAAGGCATACCATTTTTTCGAGCAATTAAATTGCTTGATTGACATCTTGGTTTCTGCAAATCTGAAAGAAACAAAGTTAATTATATTTCTAGTAGATACTAACTGTATTAGAATTAATTTAATATACTAAGTGCATTAGAATTAATTTAATATACTAAGTAATTTAGAATTAATTTAATATACTAAGTGCATTAGAATTAATTTAATATACTAAGTGATTTAGAATTAATTTAATGTACTAAGTGATTTAAAATTAATTTAATATACTAAGTGCATTCGAATTAATTTCATACACTACAATGCAATTGATAAAAATTATGGTTTATATCAAAATAAATAAGAAATCTCTTATAATCTAGCACATTCAATTTGATTCACAAAACACAAATATCCCTATTAGGGTTCTGTTATTGCCAAATTTAATTTTTATAGGTAAGATGGAAAGATAGCTACCATTAATAAATTTCCTCAAAGTTGGATTATTTAAGTAACTGGTATTATATGTTTTCTTCAGCATAGATAGATAAAAGCAATTTCTAATAAGCAGAAATCAGATATACATGTAATATTTTAATGTAAAAAAAAAAAAAAAATTTAAATAAATTAACCATAATAGTTAAAGCAAAAATATTGCTTAAATTAAAGTGCTTTAATTTTACTAAGGATGCGCATATATTTACTATAACCCTACATATAATTCGACACAAACATAAAAGTTACTTTAATCAACACTGCCATAATTTAAAAAATATCAATAAAGGGTATTTAACATAGAAACTTAATCTTAATCACACAAAAATACACACATATATACCAATTCATAGCTGCCATTATGGATAGAAAAAAATCCAGTAGATTTTATGAAATAATATTTATTTCATGATAATTGTTGCATAATGTACTAAATATTTTTAGGGATTTTAATAGTCATCAAAATAAAAAAACTGCAACATTTTCCAGTTATGAATTGATATTAAACATAACTTAAAATTTTATGTATCATGTTTACTCATAATTTTGAATATTAATAGGCATTTAATTCATCAAAGACAGTTAAAAAATGTTTTTTATTAATTTAAAAAGAGAGTTCTGAATAAAAATAAACTAAACATTTTATAACAAAAATTAAAGTTTTGAACTGATTTCTATAAATGAGGTTAACTTCATTACGTATTAGTAATACAGTAGGGAACCGATTATCCGGAACGTTCGAGACCATCGCTATTCTGGATAGCTGATTCTTCCGGTTTTCTGAATCGCTACAGAAAGCCGTTTTATTATTGTTAAATCCAACTAAAAAAAAATTTTTTTTTGGAAATAATCTTAAAAAGAAGAAAAAACGATGAAGTAATACACTAATGATTATTTCCAAAATGATGGTAGGGTGAACATCTTTCAAAAAAGAAAGAAAAATCCTAAAATCTTACGAGGGAAAAAAAAAATTTTTTTTTAAATGGCGGGAAAATTTATCAAATTTCATTCCGGTTTTTTGGTTTTCCGGATAACGGGTTCCGTACTGTACTTATTTAAATATTCTAGCAAGCAAGCAATAATCTGTACAAAAAGTCTATTTCGATAGGAATTTTTTTAGGAAACTCACTCAATTTTAGAAAATTTTTTTAATTGCACAAAAAACAAGAAAATTTAAATTAAACCCGTAGACTAGGAGAAACTGGCAAAATCCAGTAGTCTACTGGAAAATAAAATATAGATAATTTAGAAAATCAAAAATACCTTCTTTGGTTCTTAAAAATGACTGTCTTCCAACTCCCAATAAAGAAGTTAATCCAGGAACAGTGGGAGGTATTTCTTTGTCTAAAATTGGTCCAATTCGTTCACAAATTTTCAAAAGATGGTCATCAGCTATTCTTGACAGTATGTTATCCTGCAAGCAATGTTAAAAAATTAGTAATCAATAACAAAATCCACCTATGTATAATCAAGTCCTTCATAATTACTTTTAAAATTAAAATCTTTCTTTTTCATGCTCAGGTAGAATTTCAAAATTAGAACCAGTTTAAGTTTACTACAATCATCAAAACGTTGTTGTAACAGCAAAAAATTGGAATAAAATATGTTGTGGCCTTAGCCAGATGTGGTTAAGAATTAACTTGTTGACCGATACTGAAATCCTCCCTGTTACAGAAAGAAAACTGAGAGTAAATAATAAGCTAAAATCAAACCATATTTATTGAACTTTTACTACATTCCTTTCATCATCTTGAATTCTGAGGAAAAAGTAAATAGATTCATTATTCAAGAAAGTTATATTGTTCAGTTTAAAATTTAAGTTTTAACTAAATATTACTATTTATACTTTCTTAAGTATTAAAAATTCAATTAAATTATGAATCCTACAGCTATATTATAATAATTACCGTCTATTTCAGTTTGAATTTCAGTTTGGAAAATTTTCATTTTGGTGATTAGTATAAAAAATGTAAATATTTTGGCGACTATCTTGTAGTGACAAGTGAGAAACTAACAAAAACATTACATAGGAAACTAACTTGAAGGGTGCAACATGTTGCTTTTCCCAGGAAAACAAATACTTTTTTTAATTTTCGAACGAACAAAAACGTCACATTTTGTTGATAATTGACAAAAACAAGGGCCAATATGGAAATATCCCCAGCTAGTTTTGATTCTTCACATTTTTTTCTCGCATTTTAAAAATTAAGCATAGGCAAAAAAAGGTGAAGCGCATCTTTTTTCCTTTTTTTTTTTTTTTTAAACTAAAAACTTACAAAAGCAAAGTGAATCTTCAGCACTTTCAATAACTAACAGCTTAAACAGAACCTAACAACTTAAATTGTAAACAGCAAACCAGCTACATAATTTTATATGTATGCATAAGAAAAAATTTTAAAAAAAGTTTAAATGCAAAAAGATAAAAAACTTAAAATACCAATAGTCTTAATACACTACTAATAATAATATACTCTAACTCAGAGCTCATTCTAGGTAGGGTAAACAGGGCGCAGCACCCTGCTGCCCTTTTAGTCAAAAGAATCCACCCTGTTGCCCCTGGATTAAATTAGTGCCCTGATATAATAGACTCCATACCCTTTCTACGCTTTCTTTCCTCAACCCTTCTTTGTTTTTTCCCCAAACTCTACTATGGATTTCTTAAACTTTTGTTATTTTCAACTCTTTTTATTAAGTTTGTCATTGCTGTCAATACATAGATTTATATGGGAAAGGAAAAATAGCCATCACACCCCCTTGTTGCACTTGTCTTTGAAAGTTTGCAGTTGCTTCCACTATCATTAAATCATAATTATTTATCACTTCAATTATTAAATCATAGCTACAGACTCTTAAAAACATACATTTTAGATAAATTACTAAGCTAATTAGCTCATTAACTCAATATATGTTAATTTATTAATAAAAATTAGTAATTAATATGATTGCTTTGATACTTTTAGTAAAGTGAAAAAAAAAATGCTTTTACTAATTGACAATGTTTTTTAATAGAACGTGTAAAGCCCATAGAAAGAAATTTTTGCCTTTTTAGAATAATAATACCCTTTTTTTAAACTTCTGCACTGTGCCCTTTTTTCTGCCTAGAATGAGCTCTGCTCTAACTTAATACACTTTAGACTTTATTTTTAATATACTAAACAGTTCATTAGTTCTTAATAACTTTTCTCTCTGATAAAATAGAAAATGAAAGATAAAATAGAGATCTTGGTGCATTGAAAAAATATGGCAAGGCTACAAAAAATAAAATTATAAAGGAATATTTCTGTAATTTGATATGTCCCACCAAATAGATTCTAAACTTGCAATTTAAAAAAATAAAATAAAAAAACAGGCAGTGGTTTTTGCCCAGTGGAGACGTGTTACTACATTCTTGGAGTAGGACCTTTTCTGTGATGTGTTTTTAGTTTCTCACAGGCCACTGTCATCGCCAAAACTTAGTAGCCCACTATTCCCTTTTAATTACAATAACTTTTTCATAATGTTTTTACATAGTAAAGTTTTTTATTGTTAAAATCTTTTGATAAATTTTGTTCTAACACTGAAAATAAATTATTTGATTTAACGCATTCTTTAAATAATGTTACAAATAAAGTATATATGTTAAAAATAGTGAAATATATGCTGAAAATACAAAATCTAAATGTAATGAAATAGTAATAGTTTACAAACATAAATTTAAGGTCCCACTCATAAAATTAGGGCAAGGGTGGCGAACCTTTATGCACCCAATTGCCATTTTTTCAAAAAATTGTTTAATGAGGTCATAGACATGCCGTCAAATAATTTTGATTTCGTAATTATTGAGAAAGTAACAATACCAAATACTATCAACTCAAAGCTCTTTATTTACTATAAAAAAAAAATTTCAATGTCTGTTATACGCATAATTCAACTTAAAGTAACATCAGTGTGACTTCTATTGTTGCAGATTAGCAAGTAACTTATATTGGGTTATAAGATGTTAGTTTAAGCAGGACTATTAATTTTTCTGCTCATTATTTATTGTTAGCTTGGTTTTTATGGTTATTAATTGTTTTTTCAGCATTAATTGTTAATTTTTTTGTTAATAAATTTTTTTTTTGTTTTTTGCGAATTTTAATTTAATTAATATGCCTCATAGTGAACTTTGTGAACGGTGGCGTGCCTAGAATATTGTGTCGCATGCCATTAGTTCGCCATCCCTGACTTAAGGAATTCAAACCAATAAACAAAAACAATTGGACATGTTATACAACAGAAAATATTTTTCTTATCTTTTCAGAAAGAAATTTGATAAGACAAAGAATTAGGGGAAATTTCCGTATTGGGATCTGGCGTGCCAACTACAAACGCCAAAACACCAATCAGACTTTAATAAAAAAATAATAAAGCAGATGTTTGCCCGGGGGTGGCTACAAGTTATCTTTCAAGTTGTTCGCTTTCTGTTACGTTTTTTACTTTAGTTTCTCATGGGCCATTGCCTGGAAGTTGCCAAGACTTAGCGATTATTCTGCCACAGATCATGATACAGAAATCTCCCTTTTTTTATTTAATTAAACCAAAAAAGTTCCGCAGTACTGCCTGAATTTTCCCCAAAACTCAAACTTTGCACTATCTTATTATTTTTCTATTTTCATTACTTTTTTTAAAAGGAGATTACATCTTCTAATACCATGCATTTTAATTTGTTGCATTTACACAAGACAATTACAAAACTATAAAATCTTATTGTTTAATAATAGCATTATATTAATAGTTCATGAACTATTAAAAAATTATTAGTTACAGGTGGCTAAAAGAAAAATAATAACTCTGGTTCATTTTCTTTAATAATTAACACTTTCTAATTTTTTCTTTTCCCCTTGTGTCTTTTTGTTTCATATGCATAAGTGTGAAGATTTATATATATATGTATATATATATAGAAGAGAGTTTTTTTTAAATTTTAAAAACAAAGATAATCGAAAAAAATAATAATGGAACGCATTTTTATACATTTAACATTTATGCAACTTAGAAAAGAAACCGTAATAATTTATTAAATAAAACTAAATGATTAAAAGTGGGTCATTTTATTTGTTTTATTTTTTCCCCACAATTTTTAAGAGAATTTCGAAACACGACATACAATTCCTTTTAACGTTTTTGTTGTTTTTACAAAATCAGTCAATAAAATGAGTTCTCGATCTGCGTACCTTGAAAGCAACTGCACCGTTTCCGCGTAAAAGAGGAAACGGAGCCTATGGCGAAATGACGTCACACGCCCAGAAGATACGATATTTCATTGGTCGGGATAAAAACGATCGCTTACGTCATAAGGTGGGTCCACTTTCTCCCCCCTCGCAACAATGGGCATTAAAATATAGCATTCAATATCAAAAAGTAAAAAAAAATACAATATTTTGCAAATATTTACGATTTTAGGCACAAAATTTGATAAATGAATAATTAATGCCTAGGTAACAAACATCCATTAAGAAAAAAGATAATTAAGCCCTTAATTAAAAAATTTAATTAATTTCGTAAAAAACTAATTATTATTACTTACGAACTCATTAAAAGTCCTATTATGCTCATTTCCAAGCCAATCGATGCGCTTTGGTAAAAGCTGAAATTTCAAAAAAATTACATAATTTAGTAATTAGTCATTCTAAACATGTAAATTAACGTAAACAAACAACCAACTGTCAAACTAAACACCACGTGGGTTTCACACGAGGTTTATTTAACGATAAAACTAATGCAGAAACTTACCTCATGTTTCTCGATTTCTTCCCTCAAAATCTACAAAGGTAAGAAAAATTACTTGAATTTTTTTTCAAATACCAACGACATATAACTCATAATTCGTTAATTTACATACCTTAGCACTCTCTTGACAAGGCCCAGTCTTTAGAAATTTAGCAATCAATAAGTAAAGTTCTGAAACAAACATGGTATATTTCTCAAAATCAAGTATTGATATGACAAATCAGATTTAGGCTTCACATGTAAATAACACTTACCCGACTCTAATGTCGTAATTCTTCTACTATTTTCAGTTTCCGCAGGCATTGTGAACACTAAAATCACTTTCTTAGATAATTAAATTAAATAGCACCATTAAATTTGTTTGTTGCTTCAATTACAAACACTGTTAAGATCATACTTAGCGTTTTCCTCCAACGACATTGAATCGTAGCCTTTGTGTACAGTAGTGTAGCAACAAATGACATAATTTCAATCAGCCGAAGTCAAAACACATGTTTATACTATACAAAACACATTAATAAATGATTCATTACACATAAAAAGCCATAATTACTATCAAATATCTAAATTCAGATCCTATTTTTACGTGCAGATTCCACCACCTCTCGTAGTTGGAAATGACGATCAAAGTTCACTGCGCATGCGCGCCATCGTTAACATTTGGCGAGACCGGTGAATAAAGAGCTTTTCTTCTGTTTATGAAAATATCTCAGATATTGAAGGTATTATATTTTAATGCTCAAGTTATTGTAATTAAAATTGTAAAAATATAAATGTTGTGTTTTCTAGCTTATCAATATTTTTAAAAAGTCATATTACCTAAATTTCTAACAAAGCATGAAAAAGAAAAATTAACAATGACGTGTGTCTTAATTTATTTTTTTTATTTGTTATCATATATTTTACGCAATAGAAAATGTTAATAGGTTGTCACAATTGTGATTATTTAAATTAATTATTCGATTGCTACATCTTTTAAATTTATTTTTGTATATTAAAAACAATTATTTACGTATAAATACGAAAAACTCTGTTTTGCTTACATTCAGTAAATGTACATTGGCTGTTCGTCAATGTTTATATTCAATCACTTCTTTTAAGTTAATTTATACTTTCTCTATAATAAAATTAAATACTTTCTCTATAATCGAATGAAAATAGGTACCAATTTTCTTGGAACTATATGTTTATTGAAATTTATGCATAATATATTTTACTGTTGGAATTTTCACTTGATGATATTTTCTCTCTTATAAATTTCTATAAAATTTGTAAGGTGATTGAAAATAATTTATCTGTTAAAGAAAATGTCTATGGTGATTTTCAACTACAAATGTAGTGAAGGTATTTCCATAATAGTCTATTTGCATCAACTGAAATTGCAAAATATTTTTTAACTTGTAAAAGTTTTTTTTATTTTTTGAAATTGTGTGTTGTGGTTTCCGTTTCCTGATCTGTGGGAGAATAATCACCAAGTCTTAGCAACTTCCTGCAGCGGCACGCGGGAAACTAAAAAAACATCACAGAAAGGGACCGACTCGAACTGTATAACTCGTAGCCACCTTGTACTGTATAACTCGTAGCAAACATCTATATGGTTTTTTTTTTTTTTAAATTTGCAAAGTTAAAATCTATTTGGCACCTTCGCGATTGGGGCATATTTCCGTATCGTGATCTGTTAGCCAACTACTATCGCCAAGGTTCCAAATAGATTTTAAACTTGCGAATTTTTAAAAAAAAATTTCTGAATTAGATGTTTTGCCCAGGGGTGGTTACGAGTTATACCTTTCAAGTTGGTCCCTTTCTATGATGTTTTTTTTTTTAGTTTTTCGCGGGCTGCTGCCCGGAAGTTGCCTAGACTTGGCAATTTTTCTGCCACAGATCACGATGCGGAAATCTCCCCGGCGATTGTAGTTAGCACAACAGATCAGGATACGGAAACGTCCCCTGGTTTGCTTAAGGCTAGCTACAACTTCTTTCCCCTATGTGATTTTTTTTTTTTTTTAATTTTTCACCTGCTTCTACCTGGAAGTTGCCAAAATAGTTTATTTTGGCACAGTTATTAATAAAAAAATCATCTTCAAGAGGTGACAAATTATACCCCTTGAATGTTTTTTTTTTAAATTTTAAAAGTAAAAATAATCGCAAAAAATATTGATAACAGAAGACATTTTTATCCATTTATGCTACTTAGAAATGAAACCGGAATAACTTATTAAATAAAACTAAATGATTAAAAGTATGTAATTTTATCTACCATTCTTTCCCACAATTTTTTAAAAATTTCGAAACACGACATACAATTCCTTTCAAGGATTTTGTTATTTTCATAAAATCCGTCAATAAAATTAGTTCTCGATCTGCATACCTTGAACGCAACTACCCCATATATATATATATCCTATAAATTGAAAAAAAGAAGAAAAATTTTAAAAATATTTTATTTTACTGATATTTTTTCTTCTTTTTTCCTTTAATCTTTATTATATTTTTAATTTATTTTATAAGTTCTATATACTTGCAGCTTATGCGCAGTTAATAAAACTTATTATTTTTCTTAATTTTTTTCGTTATTCTCTTTTTTTTCTTTTTATCCTTTTTGTCTTTATTGTGCTATATGTATACATATGTATTTAACTTAATATAATACTTAAGTTATGGCTAGAGAGGTGCTTGAGGAAGTAGTACAGCACTTAATAGAGCTGTGGGATAAATTTTCCATCCTTTCTCATGGCAGAGGAGATCATATCTGCTGCCTACTATGCTGAAATGTAAAAACTCATACTTCTGATTGTTTGTGTGATTTAATGGCTCCCAGACAAATTTTAAATTATTAATAAAATTGAATACATAAAGAACTGTGGCAGTATCACGGATACCTATTGAAAATAGCTTAAATTTATTTAAATTAATAAATCAATGAATAGTTAAAAATTGAAAAATTTTGTCATTGAAAAAATTTGGTTTTTAATATATTATTTAACACTAATTAAGGTATTAAGTTTGGAGGAGAAGTTGAAGAATTGGAATATTTAAATACAGTTTTATGTATTGAACTTGGTTACAATTAAAGTTGATATTTTCTACAAAATAATTTTGATAGTTGACCAAGCTGGTTGCCAAAGACTGCTAGTAACTAAATAATTTCAATAGTTTGTACACACTTTCATTGTTCGATTATAAAATTTTTATTGTAACAATTTTATATCACAATAAAATTGCTATTTTTGTTATTGTTAATGTACATTGTAATTAAAACTTTATATAAATCGCAATTTTATTCTGTTTTAATAGAATATTTATTTGAGTGAATTTCGGTGAAAAATTACAGATTAAGTATAATTTTTACAATTATGATGAAGTATATGCTATTTTGTGGCAGAAATACAAAGCAAAAGCCCCTGCCATCCCTTTAATACTCTTTTGATGGTACTTACGATTTCAGTGAACCACCTAATTATTTTATGATCGTCTGAGTCTGATTTAAGTGGTCCTGAACTAACGTGCAGCAGTGAAAGTCCTGATTTAGAATAGTATATACAGTAGGGAACCGATTATCTGGAACGATCGGGACCATCGCTATTCCAGAGAACTGATTTTTCCGGTTTTCTGAATCGCTACAAAAAGCCGTTTTTTTATTGTTAAACCCAACTAAAAGAACAAATTTTAAATAATTTTAAAACGATGAAGTAATACACTAATGAATATTTCTAAAATGATGGTAAGGTAAACATCTTTCAAAATAGAAAGAAAAATCTTATGAGGAAAAAACAAAAAAAAATTTTGAAAATGGCGGGAAAATTTATCGAATTTTGTTCCGGTTTTTTGGTTTTCTGATTTCCGTTAACGGGTTCTGTACTGTACAAAGAAGGAATAGCTCTTTTTTTTTTATCATTTCAGTAAACTGATTTTAAATAAAAATAATACTTCATAATAAAATGAGAGCGACTTTGGTTTACCATACTTTTTGTGTTATAAACCACTTGTGTGTTACTGAACTATATCTGACAATTTCTCAAAGACTAAACAGATATAATTTTGAAATCTGGCCAAAATTAGCCGGACACTCGCCTGGAGAAGTAGTTCTGGTCAGTGATTGTAATGACGTGGGGGTGTTTTTCATGGTTTGACCTCTGTTCCTTAGTTCCTGTGATTGGACACATGAACTTTGAGAAATAAGTGGACAATTCTGCACTCCCAATTTTTTATTCTACTTATGGTGCCAATATTTCAGGGTTCATGCATTTCTGTTCCAGCAGGATAATTGTTCCATGCACATGTTGACATTTTCGCAGCTAGGATTTAAAGAATTGGGTGTTCAAAAACTGGGGTGGTCTTTACATAGCCATAATCTGAATCTTATTGAACACTTTTTGGTTGAATAAGAATGTAGTGAGCCAAATCAACCATCATTACTGCCTTCACTCAATTTAACTGATCAGTGCCTGGAAATTAATTCCGATGGCCACTTATCAGAAACTGGTTTAAAAATTCTGTCTCTCCAAGCATGTGCAGACTGTCATCATTGAACAAGAGTGTCTAACATATTATTATATTAATCCGGGCATTTTTAAAAAAGTGCTTAAAGGTGCTTATTTTTTGATTTACATTTTTTGGAAGCCCTTAAAGGTGTTTTTTTTTTATTTGGTGTTTGTAAAAAGTGCTTAATTTTCTTTTTTTTTTAAAAAAAAGAGATTTTTTCTTTGTCGTGTCGATTGTTGTTCTAAATTATAAAAAAAAGCTTGATTTTTCACAATTTTCTCTGCAATCTTTTATTTATAACTAGCTATTTTATCATGATTATCTGAAGTTTATGAAAATTTTTTTTGAATTTTATTGATTTTATGTTTCTAATTTAGGAACTTTAAACGATAGAAAAAAATCCTTTTATTACAGCACATATCCTAATTATGATTTTTTTTTTTTTTTTTTTTGGAAAGTGATTAAAAATATTTTTTGGTGCTTAAAAGGTGCTTTAAAAAAAAAAAAAAAATCTGGCTACGCACCTTGTTAATGTATGCATTTTTCTCTCTGAATGTCCAGATAGTGCACCTTCAATTAAAGGGTATCAAGGCTTTTTTTTTTCTTTTCTGTGTTATGATTCTAAGCATGCTTCTGATGTTGAATATTATTTATTTATATTAATCTTTTTTTCCCTTAAATTTTAGTATCTTTAAAATGTCCTGGATTCAGGAATTGAAATTATCGTGGCTAGAAAGATTTTGTATTAGTGTTCTCAAAGCTGGGCCAATACCAAAACATATTGCTTTGATTATGGATGGAAATAGAAGATATGCTACTAGAAATGGACTGCAGAAGCTGGAAGGACATTCAATGGGATTTTCTAAATTATCCGAGGTTATACTTTTTATTTGGTTGGTTAAACATTTTTTTTTTAAATTCTAGTGCAATTAATTATCTGAAATATAAAATATTTATGGTGCTAATATGTTATTTTTAGCTCCATTATTTATGACTTTAATAAATTTCTTTCAGAATTAAAACATAAATTATTTTCTAAGAAATTATTTTGAAGTTAGGCCTTTCTCTGATTTGTAGTAATTTTTGTTCTATAAAGGATTAACCATTAACAACATAAAATAAGACCAAGAAAAATTTTTAAATAATTGAATTTTTGTTTAACTTGTAATGATTAACAAAAATGGTCAAAAGTGTGTCTTCAAAACTCCATTTTCCATAGTTGAACTTAAAACTGAACATATCTTCACTGACTTAAATCTTTTGATTTTAAATTTATTAAATGTGTAAAAATTCTTTATATTTAAAGCAGCTTTCATTGGAGAAGAAAGTAGAATTGTTTAATTTAATTACAGGTTATTTTTAACTTTTTTTTTTTTTTNGAAGGACATTCAATGGGATTTTCTAAATTATCCGAGGTTATACTTTTTATTTGGTTGGTTAAACATTTTTTTTTTAAATTCTAGTGCAATTAATTATCTGAAATATAAAATATTTATGGTGCTAATATGTTATTTTTAGCTCCATTATTTATGACTTTAATAAATTTCTTTCAGAATTAAAACATAAATTATTTTCTAAGAAATTATTTTGAAGTTAGGCCTTTCTCTGATTTGTAGTAATTTTTGTTCTATAAAAGATTAACCGTTAACAACATAAAATAAGACCAAGAAAATTTTTTAAATAATCGAATTTTTGTTTAACTTGTAATGATTAACAAAAATGGTCAAAAGTGTGTCTTTCAAAACTCCATTTTCCATAGTTGAACTTAAAACTGAACATGTCTTCACTGACTTTAATCTTTTGATTTTAAATTTACTAAATGTGCACAAATTCTTTATATTTAAAGCCGCTTTCATTGGAGAAGAAAGTAGAATTATTTAGTTTAATTACAAATTATTTTTTAAAAAAAAAATTTTTTTTTTGAAAATTTTGAATTTTTTTTAATGCACTACTTTAGCAAAAAATTAATGATATATTAAAAATTCTGCTCACTTCTCACTTACGTAATTGAAAAAGGAATATACATGATTCTATCCTTAAAATTCTAGCTTCCCTTGGTTCAGGCATGTACCCATTGAAAAGAAAGCTATTAATAAAGAAAATTTGTCCTACTGTCATTTTAAATATTGGTTTATTATTATTATTTATTTATTACCATTCTTTGGTTGTAGAAGCCTTTTTTTCTGATTTCGCATTTATTTATTTCTCCCTTTGGAAAACTCCCAAAATATCCTTAATATTTGGTAGTGATATAACAAATATTCAACCTCTATGTGCCAAATGTGTCAACCCTTTTGCCAAATATTCAGTTGGCCAAATAGTCAACTAAGTTTTTTTCCGGGGAAATTTTAAAAGATTTAATAAAGAATGGTCTAAAATCATATTTTTTACTATACTCAATTTGAAACAGTTTTTACTCACATTTGTTTTCTAAAACATTTGTTTTCCATGTGTCCTGAAAGACACATGGAAAAGCGAAATTTGGAGAATTAAAACTGAACCATGAGTTTTGTAATGCTAATTTTTTTTCTTCTTTTTTTTTAAAAAAAAATTACTTTCAGGCAAGTCAATTTCATCATTTTTCTTCCGTTTTTCATGTTAACTTTTTCAAAAAAGTTATGTTTTTATAGACGTTTTAATTATGATATTTAAGTTTTCAAAAGGCTGGTAATTTGAGTACCAAAAATCTTTTTAATTAAAGCAACACTTCAAACTGTTTTTTACAAAACTTTTTTTTTTATTGTTTCATACTATTTTTAAACAGGTTTTTTTTTTTCAGTATATTTTTAGGAGCTTTAAGCTTTTTTTGTACGGTATTTTTAGGAGCTTTAAGCTTTTTTTATACAGAAAATATTTATTGTGCACGTAATTTATAATTTTTTACTCCAATAAAAATTTTTAAGGTTTGGATGAGTGTCCTTTACAAATTTTTTTTAGTTTTTTTTTGTCAAATGTAAAGTTATCTTTTTTTAAATTCAGCTTTACACATTGACTAAATTATCCTTTATTTGACCCATTTACCTTTTAAATACAATGTTTGTTTGTTTTTAATATATACTTATGTTGTACCAGCTGTAAGCAAATACCTTTATAACATTGCACATTTGTCTTCAAACTATCTGAAATCTCAATGCTTATAACTTTTAATGTTTTATCCAAATACCTTGTATGATATCTTCATAGCATTACCATAGAAATATAGGTATAAAATATGTAAAGACTCAAATTTGTGAGTAAAAAGATATATGTCCAAAAATGTTGTTAGTTTTTGACTTTTCAGGTTAAAGAAAGTTTCAGGTTGTGGTGTATAAATATGTTAATGATAAGCCTTATTTTATTACAGACCCTTTCATGGTGCTTGGAATTGGGTATTACTGAAATTACAATCTATGTTTTTAGCATTGAAAATTTCAAGCGTCCTAAAGAAGAAGTAAATTGTTTAATGAATTTAGCTATAGAGAAATTTACAGAACTTGTCAAGGAAAAGTAAGCATACGCTTTTGAAATGGTCTTGTTCAATATACTCCATGTCATGTATCAAACTGAAACAAGAATTTTATTGATTTTATGTCTATAAATTAAGAAATTTTTACGATAGAGAAGAAGAAAAAAAATTTTTACTGTACCGATCCTAATTATGATTTTTTTTTTTTTTTGGAAAGTGATTAAAAGTATTTTTTGAGTGCTTAAAGGTGCTTGAAAAATCTGGCTGCGCACCCTGCAGGGAAGCCATCCCCTCTGCAGAGGATCAAAACTGCGGTGGTATGTTTTGCCCATTCTGCGGCATATGTAAAGTACCTACCTAACTTTAATCATTTAGTTAATTATTTTACTTCAAGTTCACAGAATTATTCTTAATAGATATCTAAAAGTGTGTCGGGAAATTTAATTGTTATGATTGTGGTTGGATTTTTTAATAATAACAAAATGTTTTGTATCTTTAAAATCTAAATTAGTATAATTCATGATAAGATTTTATTTGACGACCACATGTTAAATGAACTATGTGCCTCTCTGACACATGCTAAGACTATCGTCTAGAATTATGCAATAGCTTATACAATAACTTGGAAGGTTAATAATGTTCTGTCAAATAATTACGATATATTTCTGAATATAAGCTGAGAATTTTTAGAAAAATTTCAAAAACTAAAGTGAGCATTGACTTATATTCAGTTCCACTAACTTCAGAAAATTTCATAATTTCAGGCGAACATTGCCAATAAAAATACTTCTCCTTTTGTCGAGCATTAACAATTGTTAGTAAATCTTGCATAACATGCATAAAAATATATCAAATAATATCTGAAAACCGAATGACTAAATATAAATATGTAAATTTCTCACTTCTGTGTGATGCCTTCATCTTCTCTTGTGTCTTAGACTAAATCTTCACTCTCATCTATACTGTTATTAATGAAACCTTTTTTTGAAAGATCTAATTACAATGTTGAAGGTCCATGCTTCTTTTACCCTCTCACAATCGTTACTACAAGAAACGGGGTAAATTTTTATTTCCAAGCATTAGTTTGTTTTTTTATATCTGCTTGTATACGAGTTTTGAATTTTGAGAAAATTTACAAATAAAAATCGTTCTCTTTGGCTTATACACAACTTATATTCAGAAATATATGATAGTTGTTGTTTTGATTTTTTAAATGTACGAAGCAATATTACATAAATTCTTCAAAAATTAGTTTGAATCAAAAACAAAATTAATTAAAAGCTAAATTTAGGTTAAAATTGAAATAAATTATTGTCTAGATTATATATTTATAATATGCATGCATCTAGGTTATAAATTTTACTACTAGACTATTCATGTTACAAAGATTACATTTCAAACATTTAAGAAATTTCATCAAGGTGTTTAATGCATGATATGTTTAAAACTTTCAAACAATTATAGTCCTATTGTTGTAATCCTTATCCTCATACTCGGCTGAATTGTAGTATTAATGCAATTTATTTCCATCTATTAGTAATAGAAGGAAATCAGTTGAATAGAAGGAAAAGGTTAATGTTCTCAAAGAATGTGAATGAAGGATCACGAATGAAATGCATCCAATAATCAAAATCCAATATTCAGAAATTACAGCCAACAACTATTAAACACTAGTTAAAAAAAAATTGTGGAACTAGATTTTAATATTTTTTTAGAGTTGAAATGCTTTTTAAAGCTTTAACTGTTTTTTAAAATAAATATTAAGTTATTTTATAAATATTTTACTTGAAAAATAAAATTCATTGTATCATGTGTTACTAATTTAAATACAGTGCTTATGTTATCAAATTTGTCTGTAATATATAATGATTTATAATTGCAAGAACAAAAAACAAAACATTGCAAGCGAAAAACAAAAGTGAAGTTAGTGGAAAATAATTATGGGTGGATAATTATAAGGAGTCTTACAGGAAGAGCTTAGAGGAAAAGATGTTAAATGATATTTTAGTTAATTTGTGAAACTATGCTGTAGAATATTCCAATAATTTTGGGGAACTATTTACACATCTAATCACTATTCACGCATGTCATCTCTCATTAGAAATCACCTCATTTGGAGACTTGACAGAGCAATGTTTTTTACATTTGAAGACTATACTTCTACATTTAAAGACTATACAGGGCTCTTAAATGAAAAGAAATTTCTGTGTTCTCAAAATGTCCCTTATCATTTTTAATACTAAATTATGTAAAACTGTTTGAATTTATTTATATTGTATAAATTAGTCTAATACTAAAACTCTTCTATGCTATAAAGCTCTTCTATTCCCCATCCTTTACATTGTTTAGTAAAACACTCACCTGCTATTTAAAGAGTTTGTTGAAAATTGCCCCCTCAATGGCCAAGAAGAACTTTACATTTCATCAGAAAAATGGTTAGTACTTCATCTCCGATGTTTTCTGTGTGGTGGTCTGGCTACCTAAACAATTTTCAAAAGTATCAACAAGAAAGAAGACTTATTGGTGTCAAATTAGCACAAAATTGCTTTTGAAAGGTTTTCCTTGAATATTGAGGGCTCTATGTATCTATTGTTATCTGTGACATAATACACGTTAAATTTCTGAATCTATTGAAATTTGTCTTCAGGTGTTTTTTATGTTGTGTTATAATACTTTTTACTTTTCACCATTACATATCTTTATTTTCACTACCGTAAATTATCACAGAAAAAAAAATATTCAAAATTTAACTGTATATTCAGTTAGCTGAAAAGAGTATATGTTTATATGAAAGTATATTGCCATTCTTTGAAAAGAGATACTTTTTTAGAAAATCATACTTCCTTAAAGTATTAGTTCTTTAAATTACAGTACAGAACCCGTTATCCGGAAATCGGAAAACCAAAAAACCGGAACAAAATTCGATAAACTTTCCCGCCAATTTTTTAAAAACAAATTTTTTCCCCTCGTAAGATAAGATTTTGCGATTTTTCTTTCGTTTTTTAAAGATGTTTACCTTACCATAATTTTGGAAATAATCATTAGTGTATTACTTCATCGTTTTTTCTTATTTTTAATATTATTTAAAATTTTTTTTTTTAGTTGGGATTAACAATATAAAAAAAAAATGGCTTTTTGTAGCGATTCAGAAAACCGGAAAAATCAGTTATCCGGAACAGCGATGGTCCCGACCGTTCCGGATAATCGGTTCCCTACTGTATAACCAAAATGATTTTACTAAAGTCATAGCCTTAACATCTTTAAGTTAAAAAAAAAACATGACATTACTTGCTAAAAAGTATAACGATCTTCTATACTATTGTATTAGTATTATGGCACAAATTACATATACAACTGCTTATTTTGATCCCTTGCACTGCTTAAGAAAAAAGTCTGCATCTTTTCACCTTCATGGAAATTTTGTTGTTTCTCATC